CACCAGCACCGTCACCGTCCCGCGCATCAGAGCCAACGGCTCCTCTGTGGGTCATGTTGCATAGCAGATTGCGGGCTGTTCAATTCCTATCAGCTTCATTTGTTCTGACATTGAGCTCCAAGAACAGAAAACTGGCACTTACCATCGCTAACAATCTTGTGGCTTGGCTTGCCCTTGATGTGACTGATTTGTCCGTCAGAATTGGGTTGGTCCTCATGTCTCCAATTGGGGGCCCAGTCTTAGGGAATTTGACTCACGCGGCGAAGCCTACACCACAGGCATCCTTCTCATATTCAGGGTCGTACAGACCTTGCCGCTCAGGCAGAGCATTGGCCCAGCCATAACCCTTTTTGGGTTGGTACTGAGAATACTCATGAGGAGCCTGTTCTTCACTTATATCTTTGCCATAGAGCTCCTCCAAGTTAAGACCCATTCTTCCGCCGGGAGCCGACAGAGAATGGAATGGTAACTGAAGGGAATGGTTTCTAGGAAGAGACCCCACCGATTTGGGGGTTGGCAGTTGCCGATGTCGTCACAGGGTGTCGCAGCGCGGGTGAGGGAGGAACAAACGTGTCAATGATCACCCAGCTTCTCCGAAAGAGTTGAAGATAGAAGAGGGGGGAAAGGTAAAAGGAGAACTAGAGAATAAAAGGAGGGGGAGAGGGAGAGAGGGAAAAAAAAAAAGGATGGGCGATTACGGCGGGACAGCAGGTCCGGGGATTGCAAGCCCCGATGTACCCAAAAAGGGAAATTTACAATGGTGGGGGAGGTCTACCGTGGCAAATAGGTGAAAGCAGCCAAGAGAACGGTAAGGGGAGGTCAAGTGCAAGAAATATGAGAAAGAATAAGTGAAACATGCAACATGCTACACTGCTACATACAATGCTACAACATGCCACCTTAGGAAGCTCTCTACTGTGAACATCAGACATTTGAACATGGGAAATAACCTTAGTAGACGGAAACAGAAGAGCATTCCAGGGAAGTAATGATAATCATTATGATTACGGAGTGCAAATCATCCCAAGATAAGCATCACTCGACCAATCAGAATAAAGACTTTACGAGGATTAGCTCCTTACTACGTCAACCAACTTTAGTACATGCTATATACTATATTACCTAGTATACTATATTTATTGTTATATTATATATTATATATTATATACTTATACTACTTCAGACATCTATTTGTTATATTTATGTCCACCCTATTCTCTATTCTCTAATTCTCTCCAAAGCTCAAACAAGGTCTAGTGGGCCGGGCGGCCCCATAGGCCCATAGGCCCGTAGACCCATAAAAAGATTAGAGCTGCTCATTGGACATATACATACGAACAGAGGTATAAAGTACATACTCCCGTACCAGAAATAAGGCAATCCTCACATATTGGAGGGAGTCCTGGGTACATGGGGTGCACTCCCCAGTGGGGCAAAGATGTAGTGCTTATTCCATTTGGTTTCGAGCCGCTGGTTTGCATTTAGTCTGCATACCTTTCTGCAGGAGGGGGAACTTGAAAAAGTACTAAACCATCCCAAGCAAAAGTACCGATTTAAATAAGAAGGACATCTTTATATTCAAGATGATACAGAAAAGATACAAAAAAAAAGGTATGTCAAGGAAAACAAGTAAATTATTAATTGGACACCTTAAAAGACATCCATGGATGATGCATAAATACCTGTAACGGTACTCCTCCATACACATCCGACAACGGCCTTGGAAGTCCCCTGTCCCGGGTTTTCCCTCTCTATCATCTTCTTGGCTTGTAGATGCCAGCATAGCCCGATTTCGGGCCCTGAACCGTTTGCGGATTGGTGGCCATTTTCCCTGGCTCATTCTTTGAGGTCATCTAAACTGCTTATCATCGTTCTGTCCAAATTACCTGCCCGTTTACTCGCTGGGATTGCCTCCAGTACCCTCAGGATTACATATGTATGGGGATTCAGCCGTTGATTGATCGGAATGCATGCTTCCCCATGTTTTACATTTCATTTATGCTTTACCCCATTGTATAACTTGGAGTTAAATAGAGTCCGGAGGAAAGTGACCCGTCTAGACATGTGAAGATCTATACATATGTAGATAAGGTAAATGATGATAATGAGAATACATAACTCTGATTTCTCAAAGGATCTCTTCTCCTTTTTTCGCCTGTCTACTATAGTGTCAGCCCATTACAATATACAGATGTACATCACTATTATCGGGTGAAACAGGACGAGTATAATCCTAATACCTTATAGTTCACATCGGACATCACTATGTCCAAAGCCCCTATGCAATGTATGTAATGTATACCGTAATATTTCACCTGGTCTACCAGACCCGGAACCAGATCAGAGTGGATATCACATGATCCCCGCCTTTTCTCTGCCAATCAACGTCAGGATGAAAGTAAGAAAACAACATCAAACGTCATGATTTCGGGGAAAGCTACAGCAGGTGTTAACCCGGCTTTTCCCGGATATCCTCTTGTCCACTTTAGGTTCACCGGGTTGACCGCTGGCATCGGGTAATTCCGGAAAGAAATATTAAGACATTGGCAGAAATCTTTATATATTTATTGACTATGATAGAGCTTAATCACTCAAACTAATATTAAGTTGATTTTGGATGCACCCTAACACCTCCTTCTCACAGTGTACAACTTTAGAACCGCATCGAAGTTTCTAGGCATCGCAATTGAAATATCGGTGAAGCGCCATCTCACTTCCTCCTGTATTCAGGTCTTGGGAGTTGGATTTCGCACCAGGTAGGTCCCAGTAGTCATTTGGCTGAGAGCTCACATCTCCACTGGCTGGTCCTAGATTTATGCATCGTAGTACGGAGTACATATGCAGTGCCTGTAGCTAAGGGCCCAGATTAATAAACGGCCAGCATTATAATTGGCTGGGTTTTGTTCTTGAATTAGGGGAGGAGATTGCTAGTTTGCCTTGGACTGAAGCTACTACATAGTACACTTCCTTATTTTAAACAAAATTCAGACTGATGCTTAGATCCGTATAGAGTGTCATTTAAAGCTATAAATGTTTTCAATGTTAATAGGAGATAGTATGTGGAATATAATAAGGCTCAATTTGCTAGAGGATATATATATATGATGATATATGATGATATATACTTTATATACTTTATATACTATAGCTCTGAATGTAGTAAATTGAAGCATCATACAAAGTAGGTATGTATATATAGGGTTGGGATATTCCCCGCATAGTTGAATTGATTGGCTGTGGAGCTCTGGCCTTTTCTGCGCGCTTTCCCCGTTGGACCTTTCCAAGGTTGATTATACCGCCTATATTGACATCTCCAATTGCTTCTCTATATCTTCTTCTTTCCAACATTAAATCCCACACGCGTCGTGAAGTCCTAGCACCAGTGGCCACTCCACTCGCCGTACCATAAACGAACCGCTACTTAAAAGCACTGCTACAAAGCGCCGTATTTGCAAGTCGCAGGACATCCCCACAAAGCTCCATGAGCAGAGATACCTCAGAATAGCCCTGGAGGCACCAGGGTATTCCCAAATCCGACATTGTCATTGAAACAATCATTGCAACGATGTTCACCCTTTCATCCATCACCCCGCGCGACGTAAGTGCCAGGCTCTGGCGATCCAAGCTTCTCAAACAGCCCTGGAGGATACTAACAATTCGATAGTCCCACGAACTTTGGTTCGGATCTTCCCAACCATATCGCTCCACCTCCGATCAACAAGCTGGCGACAATTCCGCTGCAAACCACCTCGCCCGACGCAATGCCAACGGCACGTCCAGCAGTAATCGCTCATTCATGCCATCCCGCTCTTCTGCCAACACAATCGCTACATTAGCCGCAGAAGAACGCTCGCTACGCGCTCGAAAAATGAACATCGCGTCGTTCGGATACTCATGGATCAAGCCGGCGGGATGTGCGAGAACAATGCTCGGTATGAAAGAGGAGGAAGCGGAGCGCGAAGAGGCACTACAGGCGGCTGCGGCTGAGATGGAAGCTGCAGAGGGAGAAGGAATCATGGAGGATGACATGGGAATTCAGAGAGGGGAAGTAGAAGAGGACGAAGGCGTGGAACGCGATTTGGATGACGATATCCCCAACGCGGAGGAGGAGGCCTCAGGTCTTATCGAGGAAGGCGAAGAAGGGCTTGAGGAAGATGACATCAGCGATCAAGGAGAATACATGGAGCGTGACTTGGATGATGACATCCCTGAAGGGTTCGCCGATGATGACTATGAGGGCTCAGGCCTGTATGATGACGATGACGAAGAGGACAATTTCGATAATCAGCCTGATCTAGATGCGGAGATACCTGCCGCCGACGGTGAGAGTGTGAGTGAAGGCATGACGCGCGACCTCGACGATGATATTCCCGATGCTGCAGAGCAAGTCTCGGGGCAGGAAGGGGAATGGCAGCACACAGACAGCGAAGAAGACCTGAGTGATGAGGAAGAGGAAAACGAACCCAGTATCATTCAAACCAGGTTTGCCGAGAACTTCCGCACCAGCACGCCAAACAGTCGTGGTGGCTTACCTCCACCTCCGACTCTGCGCCGCGAGCCCGAGACTGAAGCCCAGCGCCGTTTCCTCAATCGCTGGAGCGGTGGTGGCGATGCGTTTGATTCTAGCAACATGCTTTACAGCGACGAAGACCTGCGCGCATCCATAACCAGTCAGGGCAGCCGACGAAGCGGGTTTGCGAGAAGGTTCCCGCGACACATCGGTGGGCCTAGGGATAGTCTGAACTAGAAAGGCTATTCAAAATGAGGGTATACTTGTTCAATTTCCTCTACGGCGTTTTGTGTCAGCATGAAAATATGGATCTCGGGGGGTCTGCCTTGGGAGTTTTGATGGCAGCTTATGATACCTATTCTATTAGCAAATTCAATGAACATGACTTCAAACGCGTTCTGAAGTAAACATCCACAGTCCCAGAAAGTACATATGTAAAGTTCAACTAGAATGGTTTGTTGTACTAGGTCAATCCCTGTATATTGTTTTATATGCATTATGTACGGTTTACTTCAAACATCTTCCAAAATCAAAGCCAGAAATAACCTAACCATCGTCGGATCACATTAGACAATTTTCCTGAATTATCTCCGGAGATGAATACCAGGCAGATCCACAACGTGCCGACCCAGAAATCGGTACATGTCCGACATCTGAGCCCATGGCAGGGGTTTGCATATACATAGCTCAAAGAACCCATAGTCCCAGAACACCTCGTAGCGCCAAAGCCAAGATTCCCATGCTGAAGATATTGATAAGTCATGTGCGTGGCTCGATCCATATGAGATCAAGTAAAAGAGCAAGTCGCTGGGTTTTGCGAGAAGTAAGACGAGAGATTAAAGATGATAAAGACGAGAAATTGGGCGTGGTCGACATGGTATAGAGCGCGAGTGCACATCTTAGAGAGACAGCAAGGGTATACGTTCAGAATATCCACACATAGAAGAACAGGAGGAAGACAGCGAAAAAGAAGCCGAGCCAGACTCGCCAGCCGACGCCGGTGCTCTCGGCCATGCGAAGCATGCGGTTCATATTCCCGCGGAGTCGGACTCGGGTGTTATCGAATGAATCGTTGAGATCGGTCATGTGTGCGGTATCTCGGATTTCATCACCAATTGCAAGTGTGATCTAGATGGTTTTCCTGTCAGCGGTTGTCATTTCAAATGACCACCTGCTTTTGCTGGGTCTGGAGGTATGGGCGCGAGGCTTCTTACATTCTTCAACATTTTTACCTTGGCGCTGATACCCTCAACTTCAGCATCATTTTGTGACTCGAGAGATGAGAGAACTGCATCGGAGTAGTGTCCCCTATAGCAAAGCCTTGGTTAGCAACTATACATACATCCTCAGAAGAACGTCCGCCGATCTCAATAGATCATGAGCCACTCAACGCACTTTTTGTCGGGCGATGCACTCTGATATCCCGCTCCAACTGCACCGCTACTCGCAGGACCATTAGGTGCTGGACTGGAGTAGCCTCCGTACCCGTATCCACCTGGTTGTTGGGCAGGCGATCTGCTAGCTTGGCGAGAGTCGCCACCGTATTGATCGAAGAGAGACGAAGAGGCGCGGGGATCACGTTGACGCGGAAATCTATTTAGATTACTGCTGCATTAGCTGACTGAAGAACAGCCCATAATGAACCGAGAGATTGATGGTGGAACTATACCGTGAAGCCATGACGGTCGCGGAATGTAGCTAGAGTTCGCGACGAAGGAAGAGGAGGAACATAAATTGCAGATAGATAATTTGTTCAACGGTAATCGAGCATTTCGCAAAGGTCAAAATCCAAGACGATCACTGTTTGAGTCGTTGATGCTTGCGGAGATAAAAACATCAAGGTGGCCATAGCGTTATCATTCGCCGAACAGCACGTGATAGCCCAAGTACTGGAAATCGACACGCGAGATACACAGCAGTTGTGGTTCATATGGGAATCTGTTTATTGTCAATTTAATCATTTGGGATTGATTACGATGGGATACAATGGGCAAAGCATTGCTCATTCCAAGTTATAGCCCTAGAGATATGGATCCATTTGTTCTACAAATTACATCATCATAGGCTGAACATCGGCCAACCCATAGTCAATAGATTAAGTGTATATTAGCGGGGTTGGAAAAAGAACTCCGAAGAGATATTCATTGATTCATTGTCATCACAGAACCGCGAGACATGTTATGGACACACGCGAAAAAAAACACCGTGGACCGATCCGTGGCGCCTATCGTTCAAAGCAATTCCATGCCACCCGGAAGTTTTGTATTCATCGAGCTTAGTCGCGCATCTGATCATCATCGTTGGTCTGGTTGTCCTCGCGGCTCTCATATTCCTCATCATCATCCTCGTCATCCTCCATCTCATCGGTGGAAATCTTGGAGTAGTCGATGACCTTGCCGCGTGTGCGGCGGCCACCCTGGATGATATTGCTCTGATCGATGGGGTCGTTGAGGTTGTCTTGTGTGTCATCCTCCTCGTCTATGAACAGAAAGGGTCAGTATGAAGGCAATTGATGGTCGTTCTGGCGCATGTAGTCATTCAGACATGGGTTGCTTGGGTGATAGTGGGGGTACATACCATTGTCGGCCTAGTAACACGCAAGAAAGTCAGCATAAAAGAAGTAGTTGGGCGTGGAAATTGCAGACTCACGATCTCATTCTCGCTCTCAGACTCGCTTTCCTCGTCCATGCTCATATCTGGCGTGGGGTCAGCCTTGCCCTTGCCCTTGGCGAAGGCTTCCTGGTTGGAGTTGGAAATAGTCGCCTGGTCAGCCATAATGAGATTTATTTAGAGTGGATGAAGAATTGTAGGAAGGATGGTTGGTGGGAAGGGGGCAAGTGGAATTTAAAAGACGGTCTGCAAAGTAAGGTCTCCCCCTCGAACCAAAACAACCTGTAAGGGCGATCTCGCCGTCTGATTGGCTACCACGGGTGCTCAAACCCCGTGACAAATCTTGCCCTGAGGCATCAAGTACAAGTACCAACTGAAAATGAATTGAAAGAGCAAAGTAAGCAAGCTGTTAGAAATTGCCTACATAGCAAGATAAACATATCTAACTTGTTCATATGGGCAGGTGATAGCCCCAGGCCATCAACGATCTTACAACATACTAGGGCGCTTCTTTTGTCTGCATTTGTAAAGTGTAAGGAGGCAAATTTCATAGTAGAATTCATGATATCAGCTATTCCTTTACCGAATTAAGAAAGCAAATCAGCTGTCGAGAGCGAAGCATCTTTCCACAGACGTCGCATTATTGCCCCACCATTTTGGCATCGAAATTTGCTTGCCTGCTCCGAAAAAGAAGAAGACGAGCAACATGTTGAGGTTAAATCCAGCATCAAACGCAGCAGCAAGCAGGTAATTATACCGCTTCCAGACCTCGAAATGGCGACGGTATGCCCAATACATTACAACATATCCACCAATAATGGCAGATGTGTAACCAGTACTGATGTTACCATAGAACATCGCTAATCCTCCAAAAAAGATACTGACGTTCCACAAGTCAATTCGAAGCCGGGGGAAAAACCGGTGGAAACAGAAGAGAACAGGAGGAATCACTGCCCCTATAAGGAATGACCAGGGAAGCACGGCCATTTCCGTCTCAGCAAAAAGCCTCTTTGGACCAAGCACAGCGTACTGAACTCCCATTGTGTTGGAAGTTCGCAAGGCCTGTCCTGTCCATTGATTCAGTGGGTCCGTTTTCTTGCCAGTCAGATAATCTCCTTTGGTGTCCATGATCCAACGAATGACGGCATAGTTGATTGGAACACCCATACAAGTGCCGAAAACCTGAGAGAAGAAAACCGCGCGGGGTGGAATGTGCATGTAGTGACCAATCTTTTGGTCCTGGAGCATATACTGTGCACGATACCAGGCGTCACCCGCGATAGACCCATAGACAGAAGGACCACAAGGGTGTTGGTGGGCCTTGCCGGCTTTTGTGTGGACCATGTAGCCGTACATGAGTTCGTTGAAAGAGCCAGTTTCAAGCTGGTAGTTGGAAATGGCGTAAAGCCAAGCAAACGGAATGACCAGGACGGCAGCACTCGCAAGTGCCACAAACAAAGTCCAGATTGGGATGAAGAGATGTCCGAGGGCGAGGAATATAATCAGGATGACAAAGGCTACGGAGAATAGAGCGGCATACCACCACCATGGAATTTCTTTGTACTGTCTTTGGATCACGTTGAGACGGTCATGATACTGGTGATGGATGCTTTCGTTCTTGGTGGATTTCTCGGCATTGCGAGATGACCATATTCTTTGGAGATTCCCGGAAACCTGTGCGTATCCAAACGTCAAGATCCAAGTGACCGCTGCTGGAAGTTTGGCGTAGTCGAAAAATGTCGCCCACACATTTTGCAAACCCATATACATCGGCCCATACTCCTCATAAGCGGTCACGTTCAGGTGATAGTCTGGGGTGAGTACGTCGAGGGTTGGGTAGGTTGTACCATTGCCCAGGAAAAGGCTGTTTGACATGAGTCCGTGCTTGAAGGAACCCAGATTCCCCCACTTTGCTGCAGGAAGGAGGACCCAACAATTGAAAGCAAATGCCAAGAACAAGATGACCTGCGTCCAGTATGGGGTCGCCATGATTGAGGATCCATTCCAGTTCACATTTGACCAATCCAACGAGAGATTGAGGAAGCCCATGCCACCAATACCTGAGCCAATGAAGTTGGCCACCGGATTTCGAGGTGCCACCCAGCAGAGGAAGGCGAGGGATGAGGTGAACGGAAAGACATACTCTGGAAGGAATTGCCACATGGTCATCCCTAGAAGCGCGAAGAAGAACACCTTCATCTGGCGCCGAGCGAGAGCCGATGAGTTGTCTGTTTTGCGGAAAGTTTCGAACAAGGTGGTCTGCATCAAAGCTTTAGGCCAGATGTATTCCGGGTCAGGCAGAAGAATTTGTCGAGCCAAAGCAGCAAAGGAGTAGCCAATCCATACGATTGAAAGCATGAAAAATATCGCAACCGCCGGATTTACTCGTGTGCCGTACCAAAGCTCTGCGAGGACGATGGGAGCATATCCCAGGTTGTACGTAGCCCCAGAAGCTGCAGTCAGTGTGACCAATACATGCTCCTTGATGCTCCATGGGGCCGGGTTCAGGCTAAAAGAAAAGCGAGTACCGGGTAGTCCAATCTTCCAATCAGGAAGGACTCTGGCCATAAAGTGGCCGGCATAGTGACAGGCGATTTGAACAAAGAAGATGGAGTATGGTGCCTTGGTTGTGCGGAAGTTGCTCATCTGCGACAGAAAGGCTCCAGGGATAACAAAGATGATCGAGAGCACAAAGTAACGGAAGGTGATTGTCGGTAGGCTGGGGTCATCGGTCAAGTTGATCAGATGTCTCACAGACAAGGGTAATGCAGCAATCTCAGGGTTATCATGTGTCTCTTGTTCAATGGCGGCTGTTTCGCCCTTGAAATGGAGGTTCTCTTCATCCACTGCGGTCTCTACCGCCTTTGGGCTTTTAGAAGAGAGCTCTGAGCCTTCTGAACCCATACTATCTTGCTCTATTTTGACCTCGGGGGTTTGGTCCCCAGGTCTCTTACGCTTCAGTGCAGCGAACATGGTTAAGAGGAATCCAGAGGAATCCAGATGAAAGAGACTAAAATGAAATATATTTTCAAGCGGAAACTACATATACTAGTATATGTTGTACTCTGTAAGTATTTGAAAATGTCTCATGATGTGCGACTGGGGTAAATATTCGCAATCCACAAGAAACCTCCGATTGGAGGAGTCCAGGTTAATGCCATGTTACATCTACAAAGTACAAGGGCAAAGACAAGAAAAAAAAATTGCTTAGCGCGGATGGCGCAAGCCTTCTTGGCCCAGCCTTTTCCGGAGGCTTAAAAAGAATAAGAAATAAGAGAAGATTCTAGTTTCTCCGGGCTCCGATTTGTCTAGATTTTGTAGATATAATTAAGTAAAAACTATACGGAGTCCGGTGTACTCGGTAGGATGATAGGAATTATAGGGTTCCAAGGTTCTTGACTTTCTTGGAGTATATAAGAATAACATACATATGTAGGCTATTATCTGAGAAAATAATCCCTATACATAGGTTTTTCCATTAGATTATCCAAAGAGTTAATACCGTCTGTGATGAGACCAGACTAGGATAGTGTGAAGAGTTGACGGCGCATTTTAGGTAGAATGGGAATTCAGTTTATGCCTCAAGCCACAATGTTCATTATTACTAGCAGCACTTGTACATATGATGGAATGGCCAGGGGGCTCCCGAGGTCGGGGCTAGGAACGGGTTACATAATATATCCATTTCTGCCTATATTGTCCGCCTGGGACACCTGGGACGGAGAAACCAGTTAATCCGCTACCCATGAAAATACGACATGTTATAAATAATTTTTTATGGGTATCGTCATGAATTCACCATGACGCATCCATTATTTACCATACCAGTACTAATAATACCCTCACCAAAGACAAAAGACAACTCAAGACACACAAATTAAAAGCGGTATCCCATGGCGACGTGTATTTATCCTGTATTAATACCATACTCTGACACCGCCTTAAGAGTCATCCCACTATTACATCATACAGCCCCGCCATAAAAAAAGCTGAGAACGTCAAAGAAAAAACATGAACAGAGTAAAAAAATAGGAATTGACATGGTTGACGATAAAGTTAGAGACAATCAAGTAATTTGTAGACCTGAAGACTCCACTAGGCTCAACTGGAACCTACTAGAGTTTGAATGAAGACGTAATGAGGTGGTTGCTGGGTCGTCGAAGCTCGTGGAATCCCGTGGATCCCAATGGAAGGCTCCCTCTAGAAGCTTCTGGAGCAATACACCGCTCACTATATAGGAGCTTTTCTCAGCTCGTCCCTTTCCTCTTCTTCTTTCCTTCTCTCACTATCAAATACCCTTTTACTCCTTTGTACACTACCTACCCTCTTGACCCACGAATCTCTTTCTACCCTTTTTTTTAAAACTTTTTTAACGATTATACACATTCACCATGGCTCCCGCCGTCGGTATTGATCTGGGAACCACCTACTCCTGTGTGGGTGTCTTCCGCGATGACCGCATTGAAATCATTGCCAACGACCAGGGTAACCGCACCACCCCCTCGTTCGTCGGTTTCACCGACACCGAGCGTCTCATCGGTGATGCCGCCAAGAACCAAGTCGCCATGAACCCCCACCACACTGTCTTCGACGCCAAGCGTCTCATTGGTCGCCGTTTTCAGGACGCTGAGGTCCAGGCTGATATGAAGCACTGGCCTTTCAAGGTCATCGAGAAGGCTACCAAGCCCGTCATCGAGGTTGAGTTCAAGGGTGAGGCCAAGCAGTTCACCCCCGAGGAGATCTCCGCTATGATCCTCGTCAAGATGCGTGAGACCGCCGAGGCTTACCTCGGTGGCACTGTCAACAACGCTGTCATCACTGTCCCCGCCTACTTCAACGACTCTCAGCGTCAGGCTACCAAGGACGCCGGTCTCATTGCCGGTCTCAACGTCCTCCGTATCATCAACGAGCCCACTGCCGCTGCCATTGCCTACGGTCTTGACAAGAAGGTCGAGGGTGAGCGCAACGTTCTGATCTTCGATCTTGGTGGTGGTACTTTCGATGTTTCTCTCCTGACCATCGAGGAGGGTATCTTCGAGGTTAAGGCCACTGCTGGTGACACTCACCTGGGTGGTGAGGACTTCGACAACCGTCTGGTCAACCACTTCGTCAACGAGTTCAAGCGCAAGCACAAGAAGGATCTCACCACCAACGCCCGTGCTCTCCGTCGTCTCCGCACCGCTTGCGAGCGTGCCAAGCGTACCCTCTCTTCCGCTGCCCAGACCTCCATCGAGATCGACTCTCTCTTCGAGGGTGTTGACTTCTACACCTCCATCACCCGTGCCCGTTTCGAGGAGCTCTGCCAGGACCTCTTCCGCGGCACCATGGAGCCCGTTGAGCGTGTCCTTCGTGACGCCAAGATTGACAAGTCCTCCGTTCACGAGATTGTCCTGGTCGGTGGTTCTACCCGTATCCCCAAGATCCAGAAGCTCGTCTCCGACTTCTTCAACAAGGACGCCAACAAGTCCATCAACCCCGATGAGGCCGTTGCCTACGGTGCCGCCGTCCAGGCCGCTATCCTGTCCGGTGACCAGTCTTCCAAGTCCACCAACGAGATCCTGCTTCTCGATGTCGCTCCTCTTTCCCTCGGTATTGAGACCGCTGGTGGTGTCATGACTCCTTTGATTAAGCGCAACACCACCATCCCTACCAAGAAGTCCGAGACCTTCTCCACCTACTCCGACAACCAGCCCGGTGTCCTGATCCAGGTCTTCGAGGGTGAGCGTGCTCGCACCAAGGACAACAACCTCCTCGGAAAGTTCGAGCTCACTGGCATTCCCCCCGCCCCCCGTGGTGTTCCCCAGGTTGAGGTCACCTTCGATGTTGATGCCAACGGTATCATGAACGTCTCCGCTCTCGAGAAGGGTACCGGAAAGTCCAACAAGATTACCATCACCAACGACAAGGGCCGTCTCTCCAAGGAGGAGATCGAGCGCATGCTGTCCGAGGCTGAGAAGTACAAGGAGGAGGATGAGCTTGAGTCTGCCCGCATTCAGGCCAAGAACGGCCTTGAGTCCTACGCCTACTCCCTCAAGAACACTCTCTCCGAGGGCAAGCTCCAGATCTCCGAGGATGACAAGAAGAAGGTCGAGGACAAGATCAACGAGGTCATCGGCTGGCTCGACAGCAACCAGACTGCTGAGAAGGACGAGTACGAGTCCCAGCAGAAGGAGCTTGAGGCTGTTGCCAACCCCATCATCTCCGCTGCCTACGGCGGCCAGGCTCCCCCTGGCGCTGGTGCCCCCGAGGGTGGTGCCCGCTCCGCTGACGAGGTCGAGGAGAAGCCCGAGGAGCTTGACTAAACGTTTCGCTCTGAATGATTCTTTCTTAATTGCCATTTGGCACTCGTTTCCTTTCACGTCTTGTTTTACGAACTTATGGGGTATCAAGGTTTCCTTTTGCGCATGATTGCATAGATACAAGGTTATCTCTTTTCTAGGGAAAAAAATCCTAGTGAATCAAAATTCTTTTTTAATTCAAAACCACTCTTTCCTGTAGTAGATTGTAAATCACAGTATCTTCTTTTTGGAGTATGTTCTTCTTGGACTGCGAGTAGCCCAGCCCTCATTCGGGCCTCCCTCCATACTTACTTACACTAGAAAATGAAGCTATACAAGAATCACATCCTCGTACCTCGCAAGTGTAGAGAGTGACCATTCCATTTCCATGCTATTGGACGACCAGTTTGTGTATGTAGATATGTACAAATAGAATACAAGATTCGACGATCAATATTAATTCTCTTTACGAGAATCTCCCAAACCAAAACTCCAAACTGATGATGTATCCCAATTCCCATTTAAACATCCTGGAAGTCTCCGTTCCACCACCGCTGTAACCGATGCCCGCTCGTCTGTACGATGCTTCTGTATGTGATTTCTGATGTGCGCTCGGGGTGCTGTTCGCGCTGGTCACGGCGAATGCGGGTGAGGGTAGCAGAGACGCCCATGGCTAGGGCGAAGAGGGGATCCGCAATCCTATTCATATGGGCGTTAGAATAATGGGTCTCTGGTCGGATACAGCCGGACTGTTGGGAAGTATTTGTACCTGGAGATAAGGTAGGCAGGCATGATGCTCTGGGTTTCGGAAAAAAAGCTGGTGGTTTCGGTGACTCGAGATTCTGGTCGAGATGCTTGTCGTACATCCAAGAGCTGGAGAAGATATGCATCACGTGATACGGACACTGCTTGCTGATCGGTTCATGGCCCTCCGTCTTCCACAGCAACACATCTCCGCCATGCAGTTCTCGCTCTCCTCACTTTTCCTGCTAGGGATCAGCAGCCTGGTATCTGCCAGCTCTTTGACAATCACCATCCCCGTCTCTAGTCCCCTCCCAAATCCGCATGTCCTCCCCGCAACTAGCCATGCCACTCTCACCACTCTTCCCTCTGGTGGGAAAGACCACATCCTGTCCGCATCGCTGACCCGCTCGGCGACATTTGTATTCCATGATCTCCCATCCTCCGGTCCGAATGCTCAGCCCGAGTCCTACTTGCTCGATATCCGCTCCGCTGGTGACTACGTCTTCGCCCCCTACCGCGTCGATGTTGCGGCTGATGGATCCATTCTCGGTATCTGGGAGACTTTCCGTGGGAATCCGTGGGATAACCGTGGTGCGGAGAAATATATTGTGGATGTTGCTGGAAAGAAGCAGGTTGATGTGGTTGTCGAGGCCAAGGTTCTTGGGCGGAAGGTCTTCTACGAGCAGCGTGCTCAATGTGAGCTTGCCCCCTCTTCCCCCGCGGATACAACCTGCAGTAAATGTATATAGTTGTGCTAACCTTGGATTGAATCGCAGTCTCTCCCTTGAGTCTTGTCAAGAACCCAATGGTCTTGCTTGCAGTTGTCGCACTGGGTCTCATGTTTGTCATGCCGAAGCTCATGGATAACAGTATGTCTATTCCCCCTTCACCCTAATTAAATGTTCGGTGCCTAACTCTGTTGTCTAGTGGATCCTGAGATGCGCGCCGAATTTGAGCAGCATTCTCGCTCCTCGCCCATCACCGGTGCCACTACCAATGCCATGGCAGGTGGCGGGTTTGATCTGGCCAGCTGGATGGCAGGCACTGGTGCTGGTGCCCCTAATCCCACGGCCAACGATGCGGCTCAGGCTGGCTCAACTGGTAGAGATACCAGTGGTACTGCCCGGAGGCGCGGATAGAAGGATCATTACTTTATTATATTGACCGTTCTTGACATGGTATCTTGTCATTGTCTCGTGGCTGATTGTATGATACAAAGTTAACTGAAGCTGCTCATAAAGTTGGAGCCAATTGCCGATAAATGACTAGAGCTGTTTAAGCGAAACAAAAGCAATCCTCCCAAAGCCATCCCGATGTCAAAGCGCCTAGAAGTCCCTCGAGCTGTACAGAGGGCTGTCCCTTATCCCGAAGTCCATCTTAGTAACAAACCAAAGCAAAGAGCAGAGCAATCAAAAGAATCGAAATGCAACCGAGCTTAGAAGTCGCCTCCTCCGAAGTCATCACCACCACCACCACCATAATCATCACCACCGCCGCCGCCGTAATCATCGTTGTCATGATGATCATCCATAGCATCAGCAATCAGCATACCGCCAAGTAAACCACCACCAACACCCAGAGCAGCAGCACCGGCCGTTCCCATACCTCCTCCACCTTGCCTGCGAGGCGGTTGCTGCTGGTAATATCCACCCTGCTGCGGGTATCCTCCATATCCACCTCCGTATCCCGGTCCGGGAGGTCCGTATCCAGCCTGGGGGCCATGCTGCGGAGGATAGCCACCACCACCGTAGTATGCACCAGGAGGAGGACCTTGCTGAGCATACGAGGCGTACTGTTGCTGCCGAGGCGGCCTGCCGCTTGAGCTCGAGCTCTTGCCCATCAGCTTGCTCAAAAATCCACCCTTGCTGCGCTTCTGTTCCTGCTCGGGCATCGGGCTATGCGACGCTGGGCCCGCCGCATATCCGCCTGGGCCGGTGGACTGCGGCCGCGAGGCATCGTTGTAGTAGTCTGATGAGGCGCCACGATCTCCCGATCCGGCTCCGGTTCCTCGTGTGCCAGCCCGGGCGTCTTCCTCAGCTTGGAGCTTGGCGGCAAGTCGTGCGTCTTCGTCGATGTTGTGAGGGCTAGCGTTGCCTGGGCCAGTATTTGTTGAAGGTTTATAGGGGTTGTTTGATCCCATGTGTTGCTTCTGGTCTCCCGCACTAGCTATTGCTGCTGGGTCGCCCGGCCCGACATTGCTGTATGATGGCGGGAGAGAATCGGTTGGAAGATTGCCGTCACCGCGGGTTGGGGGGGCTTCGGGGCGGTCCCATTGCGATTTGCCCGTGGCAAGGTCCACATAGAACCTGGCTGATTGTCAGTACTTTGGTCTTTATTAAGTGAATAAATACATACCAAGCGTGGTATCGATCGTCATACTGCGCTTTCCATCCCTCGGGTACTGAGGGCGGGGGAGGCCCGGAAGGCGGGGCGAACGACATGATGTGACAAGTATGATTAGCTTGAGTAGGTTGCAAGGCTGAAAGCTTGAATTGTGGCAATGATCAAAAGGTGTTTAAAAGAGGATAGGAGACAGTGTGTATGTGAGAGTGAGAGAGTGAGAGATGGGAGTTCTTGGTTCTTCCATGGATATATACCGGGAAGTAAGCGGATAATTGTGGCCTCAGGCACATCGGCTGCGCCTCCCGAGGTGGTGCCCTGATGTCACCCATATAAGGGCCATACATATATACAGAAACATCGTATACCCCGTACAGGCTACCACAGGCTACCACAGGCTACCACGTTCAAGATTTCAGCCTATCGGTCATATTCTCCTGCAAATGGACATACACAAACATCATTGATAGCTCTTTCGCTGTAACGTGAATTTCTATAAAAAAAAACCCCCCAAATCTGAACTCCACGCTTCAATGCTATGCAAAACACATCAACAGTATCAAGACAGGTGACATATCAGACGATCTCCTGTTGGATGTTCGGATCAATTTCTCCGCTAGCCGGGAACCAGTTATCTTCCTCAAGAACTTCAAGTAGTTCCTCGAGGTCAAACCGACGTCGGTTTGACGTCTCCATCTCTGTCTCCGAGTCCAGGAGAGTAAGGTCAACATTTTCTGTGTTGTTGATTATCCGACGCGCAACCTTGCGAGCCTTCTTTTCCGCCCGAGATCTCTTTTTCTTTTCCGGTTTCACTTCCGTTTTCCCGGCTTTTTGCTTCCTCTTCTTCCCCGGCCGGGAAGAGCCAAGGGAAGAAAAAGATATGGGGCCCTGGAAGATCAACGTAGAAGTATCATTATGCTCCTGGCGTTTTCTCTTATGGAATCCTCGATTTCGTATTTCGGCAAGTTGTATTTGTCTTCTGACCTCTCGTCGCTGATTGAAATCGAGTTCTGGACGGTCTTCTAACGGCGGTCCATCGAGCTGTTGGCTTTGGTATCTTGTGAGCAAAGGGAGATCCCCAATTCTATCAGAAGAAATGCCTTGTTTAACGTTCCTAGCCCACAAGGCAAAAGGCCCCGTGTAAGAGGGCCCTTGGCCCATACCAAATGTTTCGTGCTTAACAACCTGGCCGGATGAGATAAGCTGATTTCCCGCAACGACGCCACTATCACTAGGCTTTTCGGGCTCTGGGGCGTGTTCGAACTCGAAAGTTGTGATGTTCGGATTCGAACAAGGTCCCGATGACAGGACGTGAACGCCTCCCCCGGAACCCCCGACGAGGAGATGAGATTGGTCATCGGTGAAGGATGCGCACATGATCTCCTCATCAAAAGATGCAACGTCCTCAAGGAGGACATCTTCAGGTGACCGGCGGATATCCCATCGTTTGAGAACACCATCGGACGCACCGGTGTAGAATTGGTCCATCGACGAACCCCACAGAGCTACCCTGACGCCCACGTCTGCCGTTTCCCGGCTTCGTTGGTGATCAATTGGGTTAAGGGGGGGCTTATGACGCAGTTCGTGAAGAACTCTATCACCCTTCCGATTATCCCAAACATAGGTTTTGCCATCTGTGCAACTAGCGGAGACATACGTGCCATTTGAATCCATTGGACAGAAACTGACCTCATTGATATCCAATGCCGGACAGGAAAATTCCATCACGGACGGCACACGCTTTTGGAGGTCACAATTGAGGCTAAACACTCTCACAATGGATTTTGTGGTAATGCCGATACCCTTAATGCGTGCGTTGTGAGGATCCTCAGGACTGGCCGTTGCAAACATGGGCAATGAAGAGTGCCACTTAATGTCGAAGACATTTTGTGAGTTGGAAGCCATCCTGATAGTCTCAATTGAAGATTGGTGGGCTCGCCATAAGCCTAGGTGACCTTTGTATATTGGATCCTCCCCTGGTTCAGCCAGACCTCCGGCCAAGTATTCCTTGGTCGACGGAGTATTTCCCCAGGCGAGGGCCGTTGATGAGAACTCAATATTGGGCTTATACCGTGCATCGCGGTCGAGGGGAAGGAGAGTCGATGTCAAGTTTTCTGGATCTTCTGTGTCCCAGACCAAGATTGACTCTGTCCCTGTAGCCAATAGATACGGATAGAACTTCGAGACAGACATCACTGCCACTCGGGATTCATGTTGCAAGGTATGAGTGCAGGATACGTTGCGGATTGATTCCACGTCCCAAATCTTGACAGTTTTGTCAAAACTAGCAGTATAGAGTCGGTTACCGATCCACTGCATATTATTGACGCTCATGAAAAGCCGTGGGTCATCAACTGTTGACGTTGTTGGTCGTGGAATCCAATGGTCCGGGATTTCCCTTAGACGATTGCTCTGAAGATCGCCTAAAAGAAGATTGTTTGCCTTGTTGTACTGCATGTTATGTTCATCTGATTTAGCTGCGGCGCCTGCCGCAAACTGAGTGCCATCAGGCGACCAAGCCAGAACAAGCAGATCACCCGAAGCGCCTTGCCATGATTTCCATGGTCTCAGATCCGAGACCACATCGGTGATAATGGGGCGATGATTTTCGCCTCCTCCAAGCTCACGGCTGTATAGCAGCTTTTGGACATTTGCACGACGGGGCACAACGCGACACGGCTCCTGTGGAGATGATGTGACTGTGTCCGGAATAGCTTCGACATTTGTGTCTGGTTCTTCAGATTCAAGGGGAACATTGACCCAAGGATTGGCGTAATAGTTGGTTGGTTTGACTCTATTTCGACTAGAGCGACGAATGGAATTTTGCTCAGCGGTCGGCGATATTGACCGCGAGGACTGAGTGGTTCTGGAGGCAGATGACATGGTATCCGGTGGGTAAGAGAAGTGCTGCTTGAACATAGGAGCAACTACCTCATCATTCCTACTGGCATTTGAGATTGCCACACTTTCCCTAAGAGTCCGTTGGCGCTCACGATGACAGGGAGAGATGCCGTGCGAGGAAGAGATAGAGACAGAAACAGCAACAGACTGAGGAGATGGGAGTCGGGAAGGAGCGCGTGAGGAAGCGCGCGATGAAGTTCGAGGGGAAACCCGGATTGGACTGCCAGAGGAAGGAGCGACAGAGCGGGAAGGAGAAGGTTGAGTGGCATGGCTGCCACTTGATGAACGCGTGAGTCGAGAAGATATTTGGAGAGGTGAGGCCTCACTGGGCTGGACTTCAGTCCGTGGAGTCTGCCAGACATCTCGGACCTCGTCTCTTATATGGCCAGAGGTGGCTGGAGTTGACGGGTTCTCTGGTAGAGACGAGACCCTAGAATACTGCACGAGCAACCGAAGAGTCTCCCGTTGAACATCTGGGTTTTCCGGGATGCTTCGAGCTGACAGGCCAGGGAATGCAGGGAATATACCCTGGCCATTAAGACCGTTAGACATCTTAGTAACACCGCTGATGATGTGAGCTAGAAAGAAGAAAAGAGTCAGGTATGAATGTTAAAAGGAAGAAGAGCTCTCTCACTTGATTGACTTGATTAATATGGGCTTGCTCACGTCTGGTGTCGGACGATGACAAAGTGAGAAAGACATAACATCGGTCCCCCCGCTCTCATTAGTTCACACTGAACCTGAGGTTTCCGTTATTGCCTTCCAACCCGCCGATCCCTCAAATATGTTTCTGTTACCCGGTATAGCCTCGACAGCCCTATTAGAGCTGAATCTTAGGCAATACAGTCGCTCAAGATATTGTTCCTAAATGGATAGGATAGAAAATATCTGTAGTGAGCGCTGATCTCCCAAGCCAGGAGTACGAGGGTCACAAAGGCGATTCGGCGATGCGACGATGCGACGATGCGACGATGCGACGATGCGACGATGCGACGATGGAGAGGCAAGCTTGGAGCTGTTAAAGATTGGGAGTTTTCCCTAAAAGGACCGATAGAAGCATACCCGGGAGAAATACGGGTAAAAGTTCAAAGAGAGATTGAGATATAGAGAGGGAATCAATGCCAGAACTGAAAAAAAAGAAGCTCAGATTGCAGAAGATACAGGAGAAAGTGTGGAGAAATGGAGCAGAATCGCGTCGAGAACGCGATAACGAGGGTCTGAGCGGCGATGGGCGGTGAACCGCAGGTAAGGCGGTCAGGTCTGAAGTATAGATTTATGATTTAAAGAGTATCAGAGTATAAGAGTGCATTTTTCAAGTAAATAACTAAAACTACATATTTGCAGAGTAACTGGGTATCGTTTTCAAAAAAAAAAAAGCCCCCGAGAGCTCCAAAGAACTTCGAGAACTTTCACCAAGTCATTCTTTATAGTGGGAAAGTGAAGTGAAAAGTCAGCACACCCGTACGCTCGCATTCCTCGCACTCGAACAAAGAATACATGGTGGACATTGAGGGCCCGGACCATATCTCTCCGGAAAGCGTAACCATATGAGTTGTCACATAGGTCTGGTAGACTTGAACCATTTCCTATCTATTTAGCGATACGGCCCTTTCTACGGGCTGACACCATCATATCATACAGCACATCCTTGAATGCAAAAAGAAATGCAGCAGTGATGGCGCTCTGGGTGACCTTCGGCCCAATACCTTATTGAAAATATGTCAGTAAACAGTCACCCGGTATGACTTCCAAAAATTTGCTTACCCTTATAGAGTCCCTTCCAGCCTTCTTCCTGGATGATTCTCTTCAGGCTTCCGTTCAAGCTCTCCTTGGGGCCATCCCTGCTGGCCACATGTGCTCGGCTCTTGATGGTGATATATGGGTAGGTGAGACTGGTGGCTAAGATTTTTCCTAGTGCGCCCAAGTAGAACGCATCCTTCGGCGTCATACGCCGGCGGCGCTCCACCATGTTTTTCAATTGCTCGAAAATAGTGTATTGCAGAATTGGGTTGATCACCAGGATCAATGCCGGGAGGACGCCGGCAAATAGGGCCTTGGGGCCATCCTGTCGGAGCAGGTCCATTAGGGTGCTCAGGGTGGATGCCTTCGTCTTCTTGGCACCAGGCAAGGTTTCCTCCGCCTCAGATTTGCGGGCAGTCATGCGAGTGTTGATGACCCAGATCGGGTTGGTAATTAGCACCGTGGCGCTTCCTGCAATGGCGCCCGCAATCATAGACTCCACAGTCGTGAGCTTTTTCGAGGCCCGGCCTCCCTGGATGGCGGCCTTCTCAAAGGCCGAACGCGTGAATTCATACCAATAGTAATACACAAAATTGGTGACGCTGATTCCAAACAACGCTGATTCAAGGCCGGAGTATAGTCCCGAGATACCTTCTCTCTGTACAATGCGGCGTACGGCATCAAGGGTGGTTGAGTGCGCACGCTTCGACTCAACTTGGGCTCTTGTCGACAAAGTGATCAGAGGGTATCTAGTGTGGGGATGGGGTTAGCGGCAGCGATGGAGAAAACGCGGGGAATCATACGTCAAGACCATCGAGAGAACGCCCCCTCCTGCACCCGCCAGCGCATGCGCGATGTTATCACTCTGCTGAACAGCAGTAGATGCTGCCTTGCTCTGCTCGGCTCCTGGTTGAGACATGATGGGAAGAGCTGGAGTATTGAACTGTGTTGAGGTGTAATGTATAACCTGTAAAGAGAGGAAGAAGATGAAATATGTCAGGAGATGAAGAACGTTTTAGAACTTAAGACCATTGAAATGAGTTGTCGGCTTGAAGGGGGATGTTCATGACGTTTTGCCGAAGCGCTGTGCCTCGGCATCTTACCCAACTCCACTGCATTCCGAAACGCCCATAGCGCAGGTTCACCTTGTACAAGATTATTTAGTTGATGGATTTGATTTGATTTGATTTGATTTGTTTTCTTGGTGTCCTCGGTACCTGCATGCTAATCAAGTGACTGCAATGTTGAATGTGTCACGTTCGAATAAACCGGAATTGGTAATATCCCCGGATTACCTAGGTATCTTCCAAGGTTATATGTTGCTAATAATGATCTATTATTTTGAAGTCGGCGCCCGTGACTAGCATGTGATTATATATCTTCATCGATGCCTTGACAGTGCATACAAATATATGTTTATATTTGCCTCGGGGAGAGATCTACATAGTACAACGCACTGGTTTACCAGAACAGAATAGAAAAAAAGTGGCCCCATGTGAGGCACTATGCCTCGAGGAGTCGCAAGGTTCTCGCTATTAGTCCATTCACAAGTGAGAAATCCAACCTACAGAAAAAAAAAAGGGCGAAAATAGAAAATAGAAAGGTGAAGGGGAAAAAAGACACAGAGAGAATGATGGGCCAAGGTAATAGAGCAGAGACGTGGCCAGGAAAATCATGAGAACGCAGAAACCGGCGGTAATCGCATAAGCAAACGCAGTAACGAGGATAGAACGCAGGCTGTCTAAAGCGAATCCAAGGCAAGAAAGAGCCCCCAACGGCATCATCATAACGATTGCCAGCCCCGTAGAGCAGCTTCTCCTTGCCCGTCAGGAACATGCCGAGTTTCCAAAGGCCTGACAAGTCTGACTTCTGCCGATTAGATACCACGCCGCTTGAAACCCCTCAATTCATGATGTAACATTGCGCCAAAGTGAAGCACCGCACCACACAAAGAGAACATCGTGTCGTTTAGCAGCAGCCACCTGCCGATCCAGACTGGACACCCTGGCCCTGGCCAACCTGCACAGTCGGCTTGTTGTTGACAGTGGCCGTTCCCATGCGTTCCTTGATCTGCCGTGCCATCGTCAAGAATGCCTGCTCAACATTCGACGCGTTCTTGGCCGAAGTCTCGAGGAAAGGAATTCCGAGGCTATCGGCGAACTCCTGTAAAAGTGCAATCAAGACATGTTAATAGTCTGCCCCAACGGCCCTGGGTCTGATCATTAAACATACCTTGGCAACGGTGTATTCCACGACCTTCTTGTCCTCCATATCGCTCTTGTTTCCAACGAGCAGCTTGTTAACACCCTCGGTAGCGTACCGGTCAATCTCCTGGAGCCACTGCTTCACGTTGTTGAAGGAATCCATGTCGGTGACATCGTAAACCACACAAATTCCATGAGCGCCCCGGTAGTAGGAAGATGTGATGGTACGGAATCGCTCCTGGCCGGCGGTGTCCCACTGTATGCATTATTAGCTTTGCTTTAAATGCTTCGTGTTCAATATAGCCCGTACGATCTGAAGTTTCACGGTCTTTCCATCGAGTTCGATCGTGCGGATTTTCTATAATGACCTGTCAGCACCGCTATTCTCTTGCGGCCAAATACCCTGCAGCTTCCGAGACGTACGAAGTCAACGCCGATTGTCGAGATGTAGCTTTCGGTGTAGGTATCATCGGCAAAACGAAGCAGCAAGCAAGACTTTCCAACACCGGAGTCACCGATGAGGAGCAGCTTGAAAAGGTAATCGTATCTATCTCGATGGTTAGGCAACGGAGATCGGCAACTTTGGGAATTTGGGTTGTGTGCCGGTCAAATCAGCGACGCGACGATACTCTGGAAATCAACATCACATCAGTTAAATTCAACACACAAGCAGACTTGTATAGTCGACCAAAGTAGGGCGCATAATTAGAAGGGAATTTGGGGGGATGGATGGGAAATGGGGAACGCTTACCACTCGGGATTCATGATGAGACTTGGGAGGCGGAGAAGGTGAAATGAAAACAGAGATAGAGCACACACAAGTCTAGAGGAATATAAGGGGGGGAAAAAAGTTGATGGAGTCGAAGTTCCTAAGAAGTCGGGGGAGGGGACAATGATGGAACAGTCGCCTGAAATGATAGGAGGTGCAGGGAGGCAGATGCACCTGATGTGCAGCTTTGTTTCACGTCACAACCACTTCTCGGATTCGGTGTATTTGATGTGTCTATATTTTCTATATATACATACCTTCTTCTTGATTATAGTTCTCCCTTTTTACAGATATATCTATCACAAGGATCATTCTATACTTAATTCCACATCTCCGAGATCACCTGCTCAACTGATGTTATCCCGTGTATAAACTCAGCCTCGTGGGTACTGGACCAATGACCTAAAGAATTCCAGAATCCCCCTTTTACATTGTATCAGAAAGAGTTCAGTTGAACAAATATATTGTTGAAAATCATAAAGCCACCACGTTCGTAGATGCGCATTTATGCGTAACCGTGTGCCTGCAGCCATTCGAGAACCAATGCCTCCTCACGCTCCTTATAGGATGCATTGGTTCGAATGTTGTCCGAGACAATCACGAGTGCACGGTCATAGGCCCCGGTTTCCTTGTCCTTGAAGAAGGCCGCAATGTCGTCACTGATCTGATGATCGGCAAACTTTGATAGGCCCATACGGACAAAGCGCTCGAACACAACGTTGTTGAATGACAGTCGTGTTTCAACAGCAGTCCAGTTGTCCTTGATGTACTGCCATAGCAAATGCCGGACCTTCGAGTTGGCGGCCAGAGATACGGCACCGCTGTGGATGTCCTGGACAGCCACCTTATCCGAAAACACGAAGTCCAAGTAGTCCTTCACCAGAGCAGCATCCTTCGTGCGTCCAAGTGCAGACAGGCAAATCTCTTTGCCATCCACAGAGTCGGTTCGGATATACTCTTCCTTAACGGCATCGTATTCCTTACGGCCGCCCTCCGACACATTGATGCTGAAAATCACTGACCGCAGATTAGTATGAATAGCACTGGTATCTTTTCCGGTCGCCCAGAGATCAAAACGGCGCTTGGCCTCCGAGACAAATCTATAAAATATTGAGACTGTATTAGAGAGTGTTCAATAACATTCGGACATAAGGGAAAAGAGCTCACCCTTCATGACCCGCATTACAGGCCATTGAAATGAGCAGCTTCCGAAGCTGCACAATTAGATAGTCCTCATCGGGCTTGAATTCCCAGCCAATCCGTTCTGCGGCCGGGGAAGCCAGTTTAAGGGTAAACTGCTTCAATCCCTCGGCCACTTTCTCGTTTTGTGAGAAAACCGATCGGAGGTTCGCCAAAGACGCAGAGACTTGGGACCAAACACTGCAAGATAAGAGGTCAGGAATGACAGCAAAGGACCATAAGAAGATGTTGCTCACAGATAATTTTGTTCCTCCTTGAATCCTTCCAGAAGAGTCAACAATGCGGGCGTAGTGCCCTCTCCAGAGACTGCAAGGGCAGCTGCATCACCCAGCAAACCGATCTTGTCCTCGGTGCTCAGGAGATCAAGCGACTGGCCCAGCTTTGCCAGATGCATGGGAGGATAGTTGGTTCGATAGAACCCAGACAGGTCCTTGTTGATCTTGTAAAAGGAGTCCTCCCCAATTCCTCCAACGGTGTCAGATTTCGAGGTCAGAGCACGGGTGTCAACAGTAGCCAGTTCCGATCCAGATTTGATGCCGAGAGGAATCCACCATTTCGTCTCGTCCTCCTCTGGCTTCGCATCGCCGGTAGACAAGAATCGATTCTGGCTAACGGTGATCTGGCCGGGCTCCTCGGTCACGGTAACAACCGGGAAACCGATCTTGCGAATCCAGGGATCCTAGGGCAGATCAGTTAGATCTCGAGTCGACCAAATAGAGAGCCACGGGTTTGGTATTTACTCACCATGAAAGAATGCACGTCCTGACCGGAGGCTTTGCTCAAGGCGGACCACAGGTCATTTGTGGTTGCATTTCCTATAACCACTCAGCAGATGTTCCTCATAATCTTCTTCCTTGACGCCCTACCATATGCATGAGATTTGAGATAGTCCGCAACTCCACGCAAGAAAGTCTCTCTACCGAGGTGAACACTCAGCATGCGAATAACAGAGCTTCCCTTCAGGTAGCTGATATGGTCGAAAATTTGGTCGACTTCGAGGGCGTTGCGAACGGGAACTTCGATAGGGTGGGAAGCGCGGAGCGAGTCGAGGTGAAATGCTTGTTGCACACCTTCAGCCTGGGAAAACGTCAATATTGGTCTTGGCATGATGGATATTACCTCGGGCATTCCGTACGACAAACTGAGACCAGACGTTCCACTCTGCTTGCACATTAGATACTGCGTCGGAGGCTCATTGGCCAGAAGCGAATAAAGCTCACCAGGATAGAAATGATCAACGGCAAGCCAACCGACCCAGGTGGCGAATCCCTCATTCAGCCACAATTCATTCCACCAGTCCATGGTGACAAGGTTGCCAAACCACTGGTGAGCCAGTTCTATAAATGGAGTTATATATCAAAACCATCTTGACACCTAGATACTCAGAGATCGAATGAATGTGGGGACTCACCGTGAGCTACAACATAAGCAATGCGGTTCTTGTAGCGGTTGTCGGACTTTCCTTCATCAAAGAGAACAGCGGTCGTTCGATAGGTCACAAGACCCCAGTTCTCCATGGCACCCATGGCCTAGAGACCCGCAATTAGTTCAAATGAAAAGCTTGGAACTCGTAAGGAATATATGGTTACTCACAAATTCGTGAACAGCCAGGAGATCAGCCTTGGGGAGAGGGTATTCAATTTCGAAGACTTCTGAGAAATAGTCAACCGTGCGGTGAGCACATTCTAGTGCAAAGCGAGCCTGGTCTTGAAGGCCTCGCGTGGTGTAAACTCGAACGGGAATACTCTTGCCCTGGTATTTGCGCTCGGTCATGGCCTCAACGTATTCGAAGTCACCAACTGCCCAGGCCAGAAGATAGGTGCTCATCACCGGCGTCTTCTCGAACGTGACAAACTTCAAACCGGGCTTGTTTCCGTCTCTTTCGGATTGAACGGGCATGTTGCTCAGTGCAGTCTGTCCCTTGGGGACTTCAATCTCGAAATCGAAGGTGGATTTCAGGTTTGGTTCATCGAAACAAGGGAAAGCCCTTCGTGCGTCGCAGGACTCAAATTGAGTGCTGAGCATGTAGTAAAAGTCATCCTCCTTGGGGGTATCGGCAGATGGCTCTCCGACGGGCTTATACTTCGAGCGGTAGAAGCCGGCCATGGCGTTGTTCATGGTGCCCGTAAAGTTGATGGAAAGCACAACGTCTGCCGGCGCAATCTCTTGCGAGAAAGCGAGGGAAACTCGCTCGGATTGCTTGTCGTAGGTGATTCTGGATGCTTTGGCCAATTGGCTTCCTATGACAAGAAGGCCGGTATTAGTTTTTCCCCCCTCCATATCACACTAATGATATGCTCCCACACGTACCATCTTTGCCCAATATCTCAGCATTTCGTACCTCGATCTCCTTCGAGTTCAACACGATCTCGCTGGTAGCACGGGTGACTTTGAGATCGATCTTCAACGCGCCCTTGTATTCCCATGAACCACCGAACTGCAAGTCGAACAGAGAGACATGGTAGTTGATAGGCTTAGCCCTATTGTCATGTCAGTTTCCAATGCTGTAAACCAGAAAGAAAGCCAGGGCTCAAATGTGGGAAACAAAAAGGAAGAAGAAAAAGCAACAGAATAACCCAAGCGGGGCATCACTCACACGTCAGGAAGTGTCTCTCGCTCTTGAGACACCATCATGCGGACTTCGGCGGAACAATGCCTAATCGGAGTGAAGCTCAGATCTAATGTAGCAGCGGGTGTAGGCAGTCGAGGTCGCAGTCGAGGAGAATGCGAAAGAGAAAGTTTGTGTAGTGTGCGAGAAAGAAGAGGAGGGGTAGGGCGGACAGTAACTGGACGGAGGACTTGAACTGCTACGCCAGCAATGGATCTTCTTCCCCACATCGGGGGGATTCTAGCTTAACCGTCTACGGCTATCGTCGGATTTATTTCAAAAAAAGCCTAGTTTGGAAGAGATTGCAACTTGAGACTCGGTGAAAGAGGAGGGAGGATATTCTGGATATTCTCCAACGGAGCTCCGTCGGAAGCTTGGACCATTTTCGGTCTTCCGCTTGGATCCTCTCTCTCTCTCTCTTTCTCTCTCCACTCTTACCTACGAACATGGCCGACTCCGACGAAGAATATGTGGGGGAGGTAACAGAAGATGAAGATGATTTACAGGTGACTCGGGGCGATAATCCGCGAGCCAAAAGAAAGCAGCGTGGAGGCGCAGAATGGGAGCTATCCAGAACCTGGGAGACACTGGTGGAGGGTGCAGATGGTACCATCAACTCGACCGTCGAAGGTCTGCTGGAGGCTGGAAAACGAAAAAGGTCAGTCCATTCCCCTTACAGCATCCATTTATTCTTACTAAATTGTATCGGTCGTTCCAGGCTCTTGAAAGATACGACACCACTACAGCGCGGTATCATTCGACATCTCATCCTAATTCTGGATCTTTCACAATCCATGTCCGAGAAGGACTTGCGACCCACGAGATACTTGTTGACTCTCCGATATGCCCAGGAATTCGTGAGAGAATTTTTTGAACAAAATCCCATCTCCCAACTTGGTGTCCTCGGCCTGAGAGATGGTCTCGCGCTCCGAGTCAGTGACATGAGTGGCAATCCAACAGAACATCTCACAGCCATCCAAGCCCTGAAAACACAAGATCCGAAAGGTTTGCCTAGTCTTCAGAATGGATTGGAGATGGCACGTGGTGCTCTTTTGTATGTCTTTACACCAGCTGCATGTGTAGCCTGGGGAATTTGAATGAAACTAACCAATGAATTTAGCCATACACCTAGCCATGGTACTCGAGAAGTCCTATTTATATATGGTTCTCTCCTTTCTTCCGATCCTGGTGACATCCACCAAACGATAGATACCCTGATTAGCGACAAAATTCGGGTTGGTATCGTGGGACTCGCAGCCCAAGTTGCAATTTGCCGGGAACTTTGTACAAAAACCAACGGTGGTGATGAAACAGCTTATGGAGTAGCACTGAATGAGCAGCACTTTCGGGAGCTGATGATGGACGTGACTACACCCCCAGCTGCCTACTCACAGAAAGAATCTGCAAGCTCATTGCTGATGATGGGGTTCCCTTCTCGTACAGTGGAGTCCAGTCCCTCGCTCTGCGCATGCCATTCAAAGCCCTCACGAGGAGGCTATCTTTGCTCAAGATGCAACAGCAAAGTGTGTAGTCTTCCTGCTGAATGCCCATCTTGTGGGCTTACATTGATCCTTTCAACCCATCTGGCACGATCGTATCATCATCTATTTCCCTTGATCAACTGGGTCGAGGTGCCGTGGCGTCGAGCTTCGCGAAGCTCTGCTTGCTTTGCCTGTGGTCTTTCTTTTCCGTCTGTGCCTTTGGAAGATCACTGGCAAATGACAGAGAACCAGACCAAGGGAATGAGTGTGAGCAGTCGCTACGAGTGTACCGCATGTCATAACCACTTTTGTATCGACTGCGATCTCTTTGCCCATGAGGTCGTGCACAACTGTCCCGGTTGTCAAAGTAAAAGTACACCCCTGCATTCTGGGGCAGCCAATCTAACGTCAGGTGGAATGGATATCACGGTCTAGGGCGTGGAATTATCTCAATATTGCATGGTTTGGCGTCACAAGATATCCCTGGATTTTTCTGTTCACCGGCCAAAAGGTAGCATGGTGGGTGTGGGTAAGGCGTCTGTATATACAAAATGCGATTTTTTCTCCCAAGTGCCACAATTTTTTCTAAAGAAGGGGAGTAGAGAAGGTCTCAGAGGGTCCAAAGGTGCAGAGTAAACAATTGGAGAACCAGAATGAGCCTCGGCTAGTTAGCTTAGGATTGCCCCACGCATCCTCCGCATCCTCCGCATCCCAGACCTTTGTGTGTATTGTGTATTCTTCAACAATGGCGCAGCCCTCAGAAGCTCAGGTCTTTGAAAGGCTACAATCTTACTCCTTCACATCGGATCCTGAGTTTGCAAATGGCCTCTCAATAATACTTGGTCACCCCGACACCCCCGCCACCGAGGTGGAGATGAACCGGGATGACGACCTTGTCCTGCAAGCAAAGTGTTTCTTTTTCTCGCGGTATGCTGGGAATACCTATACAAAATAGTTCAGTTACTAATCTGAGTACAGAAAAGAAAAACTCATTCCGGCTATTGACTTTGCTGCCTTCAAATCATGGTTGGCATCGCGGACAATGGAGCCCCAAGGGCGAGGCAATACAGACTTGCAAATCTCCGAAGCATCGGACCCAAGTACATCTGGGCCTGGGAGTTCAACACATCCTGAACCTGCTTACCCATCGTCGTTTGCGCATATTGTGGAACTCATCACTACGGGACAACCAATACCTGGGATCCAGGACATCCCAGACACGGTGCTCAGTGGCCACGATATTTCCAGTGAGAAACCACGGCGACGGAAACCATGGGAGAAGGATGAAGTGGTGACTGCCTCCGATGAGACTGCAAGTGCTGGTCCCTGAAATTCTGTTGTGTCCACATGAGGTTCATGATGGATTAAATATTGGAATGGAATAGAATTTGGATAATAACAATATGGTTTTCTTAAAGAAAATTTAACGTGACACGCCCCAAACTTCAATCTGTATGATTGAATGAAATGATAGCCACTGGGGATAGCAAGCCAAATGAATAAATCGGCAAGCAGTGATAACTTTCAATATTGAAAACACAGAAATGATCGGGTAATTGGGAACTGGGTCAACAGATATTGATAAGACACGGTCAGAAAAACTGGCAAAAGACAGACTGTCTGCCTGGAAGCAGGGGAGGTGAAATGCTCAAGTAATGCTTTTTCTTCTTTGTTGATTCTGGGAAAAAGGGGGGGGGGGGGGGGGGGGGGGGTTCTCTTTTTTCTTCTCTTTTTGCATGGTGATAAAAGTGAATATGAAGTATCAAGAGACAGACTCAACGAAGTGGCGCATAATGGGGTCCCCATTGATGTCCGCGGCCAAAGCGACCACCGGACTGGCTCGTGGTGGTAAATTTTTCTTCATTGAAATTGTTGAAACGGCTGATTTGCATTCCAGCCCCAGGACCAGGGCGTGTAGTGTGAGACGGGTTGCAGCAAAGCATAGCCACACGAGAGCCAAATTTGGAGCCACGAAGGGAGACCATATGTTTCCTAGTTGAATCAGGTTAGACTACAGACCACTCAAAGTAGAAAATGAAGTGTCAGGGAGTAGTACCGAATGTGACTGGCCACGAGCTCTCGTTGATGAGGCGCGGCGTTCATCAAAATCCATTGGATGAGATAGTTCCCATACTGGTCACCCGCTACTAAAATTAAATTAGTATCTTCTCATGGTGTTAAAGCCTGGGCAACTTACTATCGATCAACGGCATGCGAGGTCGGTCAGATCGGCCAGTGCAGACACGAGAGAGATAATGATCCATGAACTCCGTGCCGCCAATCTTGAGGCATTTTTCCACAATCTTAGATGCGAACTGATCCATGCTGTAATCCACAGCCCAGCGAAGAACATGCTCAACAGCACGGCTCTTGTCGTGGGGAGCACCGTGCTCGCAGATGTGTTGAATGCACCAATTCCCGAATTGACCATGAGCGAGTACATCAATATTCGCCAGTACTTCTTCAATTGCCGGTCGCTTCAATATGTTAGTACTTGTATAGTCAATAAAAAGGATCAACAGAGAAGCAGGACAGCAAGAAAGGGGGTTTGATGCGTATGGTAGCGGGTCCGGTTGACAAGGAATCTCACCTTTTCCTCCTCCACACAATTCTCAAAGATGTTTTGGACGACCAGGCTTCCTGTCTCTCCAAGAGCAACCTCATGCCACATTCCACGTAATGCCTCATTTACTTTGGCCATCACCTGCGGAGGCTCACCACTCCACCGGAGCTCAAAGAGTTTCTGCCAAACGTGGCAGGCATATCGATGGACCACCGTCTCCGGAATTCTGCGGAGAAGTTCATGTACCATGATAGCTTTATGTTCCTCTGAAACGCAGTCAAACGCCTTTTGGACCACATGGCAGCCAAACGCATCCATGCTGAGGTTTAGCGTGTTGCCTCTGATAGCTTTGGCGATGGCGACGACTTGCTCCGGAGTTCCATGTTCGAAGCAGCGCTGTATGAGAAAGTTTCCAAAGCGGTTGACCATGAGTGGGTAGGCTTGATGCACAATTGACTCGATAATGTCGTATTTTTGCTCAGTTGTGCCGACCTTGAGCTTTTGTTGTAAGAAAATTGAAGCTTGTTGGTCGTTGTTGCAGATGATCTTATCTACAATGTACTTCCAATCACACGACACATTCTTGTCGAGCAGGCGTCGGTAGTTGAGTGGTTCGAGTGGCGACACGTACGTCTGGATGGAATTGCCGCTCATCTGACAAGAGTTAGAATAAATGTAAACACCCACATGATTATCTCTTACTGAGTTGGTCCATGAGGTTTCATTCGTGCTGGTACCTGTAAACTCGGTAGCAGTAGGTGAGAGGGGGCTGCCAATCGGTCGAGGGGGGTAAGAGGGTACAGAGTAAAGCCCGACCTGCTGAAAGGCGCTGGGAGGTCTCTTCGGCGAAGCAGGTGACTTGGTGGTCTGCTCACTGGAGGTCCCAGAGGCAAATTCACCCCAAGGAGTAGACTGGATTGAAAATAGAGATCCACCCCTACTGCTTTGAGTGGTGGAGCGACGAGCCCCCGTGATGGGTCCTGGGGGGTACAACATCTGTTCACCAATGGGACGTGAGTAAAATCCACATGAACTAGCTGAGGACCCTGAGTGTGGTCTTTGTGATTGCAGAGACGATGGACCGACAAACGGAGGATACACATTGGACACTCCCCAGAACCGATTTGGGTCCTGGCTTGTGGAGCTGCTAGTACCTGAAAGGCTCTCTCCGTATTCTCTGTCTGTGGGAGTCTCATTTTGGGCCCAGAGCGCGCGAGATCTGTTGTAAGCTCCTGTAGACAATGGATCTGAGACATCAGATTGCGAATCGTCTTGGGCACCCCACGCATCTTGAAACTGAGCAAATGCTGAGCTCGATGCGTTAAAAGCATTCTGTAGGTGACTAATGGTCTGCTCTGTAATTTCGCGGCTGCCGAAATCGGCCTCTGATGACGGACCAAGGGCTTGATCCAAGGTATGTTTTATCACACGGGTTTGGGCAAGCTCTTGCTCCTGTAGAGCAATCTTGGAATTTGCAGCAAGGAGTTCCTGCTTAAGGCGAAGCAGCTCTACCGTTCTGTCTTCCTGGGGGTAAGGATTCGTGGTTTCAGTGAGGGTTAAAGCTGGCACCGTTGTGGCTGGAGTGATCTGAGACGAACCAGAAGAGCGATCGGTTTCAGAACGTTGAAGGGCGATTGTTTTGGGGGAAATCTTTGCCAGTATTCTGTCAAGATCCGATGTTTGTCCGTTCAAAGGTTCAACTTTAATATGATCTAGCTTCTGTTTCTGGGCCTGTGAGATCACAAACACATACACACACGTGAATTAATATCACAGGAAACACATACCTTACTCGCCGAGTGCTCAGCCCCTTCACCAGACAAGGCCTGCAACTTTCCATGTCGGGATGTTTCAGCCGCGTCGGAAGAACCGTAATGGGTAATTGAGTTCTGAGGGCTCTGCCGCGAACAATGTGGTTAGTATGCTAGAAATTCGATTCAAGGCTGTCTCCCGAGAATCATACCGAGGATTCGTGTCCAAAAGAAAGATTTCGCACATCAATGGCATCATTGGAGGTAAAACGTCCTCCATTCCCCATTCGACCAAGTGTAGAAGGTCCGCTTAGGGTAGACATATTGTCAACTGGAAGAGATTAAAAGTGAAACAGAAACAAGGCCAGAGATAGAGACAGAAAAGAAGAAAGGCGAAAAAAAGCAATGAAGTCGCTGCGTGAAGGTTGGGACAAAGAGGCTCGTTGGAAACCAAGTGAGTTTACATGCAACGAAAAGGATTCCGAGCAGATTTTTGCGAGATGACGGTAAACATAAGGGAACTTTTGGAGATGAAGAAGTAGTGGTGAGAAGAGACGAGATTGGGACTGGAGGATGGGAGAAGAGGCGAGATGGAAAGAGGAGAGAGAGAGGGAGAGAGAGAGAGAGAGAGTGTGTGTGTGTATGTGTGTGAACAGAGGCAAGAAAACAAGAGACTGGGGAAGGAGCGAAGTCAGAAGAAAACCTTCCACAAGGAGCATCTACATATTCCTGTGGACTACTCAATCGGGTATAGTTGGTCCTGTTCATTTCATACATACAATACCATATAGGTCTTACTACATATGTATGTATAGTAGTAACTAAGTGGATGGTTAGGTATGTAGGTACATGCATATGTATGTATAGATATCAATATCAAATCCATCTAATGAACATATATACAATACCCTATCCTGAAGGTTAGATATGATAGATCCAAGATTTATCTACATATCACTGGAAGGTTATATACATGGAAAAGTCATTTTACACTTGAAATCTCTTAAATATAACGTTCCTAATATCATCTTAAGCCAAATAGATCAGATTATTATAGTCATACGTCCTTGAGGACAGCGGTTGCATAAGTACATGTATAATCTATTAACTAGAACTAAAATGTTCCCTGCCCTAACTCCCAAAGCCAAGACACTGCATGCAGATCAGGGTCCATACCACGTGACCCAGATGACGCGTAATGGAGAAGAGAGCATACGAAGACGGAACAAGGGACATTTTTTTTTCTTATTATAGAAAAAGGAAGGGGAATAATAGAAAATAATACACAGAAGAAATCACATACATCTGCGTTTGCGGATACTCTGGAGGTACATATGTACTTCAGCCATTATCATTGTCTGCCGTAATGTAAGTGGCGGTACATGTGGAAATCAAATTGCATCTCTATCCGTGGTCGCGTTGCAAGTTATTATGGGGACCTCTCTCAAACTTATATTTTCCCAACAATTCCTTTGTTTGACATATATGCCTAGGTACACACTAGGTATATATTCACATATCATTTCATCTGTCTTCGCCGAAAGCGTGTGTGTTTCTATACTCGACGCTCATTCGCCCAAGGAGATTCGTCATCGACAAACCGGCGAACCAACCCGCCTTTTTTCCTCCATTAATTAGTGAAGCGGACACATATCCTCACGGGAAATCATTGAGCGGATTGTCTCTCCGCAGCTGCTTCTTCGCCCTTCTCGGGTAAGTGACCCCAAGTGCGGGTTCTTTTCGGAGGTCCGGGGAATTGACGTCTCTGAAGATAGTCTAGACGTTCCGGGTCGTGGAAGATGGCTACAACCACAGTAACCGGTCATGGGCGACGCGCCTCCATGCGCCAGGCCGAATTGCAAATCCCCACCAAATCCTCCGTTCCTCAATCAACGAGCAGCCCGATAGACAAATTTCCGCCTTACGAAGACACCCTCGACGCCGTCGCGGGGTCAACTCGTCCAAACCGAAGCGCCTCGGTGAAATATGCCCCGAACGAGCTCTGGGAACCCCGAAAAGCAAGCTTGTACTCGCGAGAGTATGGGAACGGATCATTACGAAATCCCAAACACCGCCCACGAAAGAGCATCAGCGAAGCCATCACGACAATCAGAACACGCAATGGCAGTATGAGTGCCAATGCTCATGAATTGGCCGAAGCACTTCGCGCCCCAGTCTCTTACCGACTCACTGTATGTTGATTCGCGTTTTGAGGAATTCACAAATAGAAGAAACTCTCTCAATGAGGCCGCTCGCTAACACACTGTCTCAAGGCTCTCTGTCTCGTTTGGTATCTGACCTCTGCCCTCACAAACACGTCCTCAAAATCGATATTGAACGCTCTTCCGATGCCAATCACATTGACGATGATACAATTTGCATTTGTCTCCTTTTGGTGTTTGCTATTAGTGTATCTCTCCACAGTTATACCTCGGTTGCGACAAAGTATCCCGATCCTTCAACATGGAATTCGCTACCCATCCCGTGACGTGATTTCCACAGCCTTACCCTTGGCAGTATTTCAATTGGCCGGTCACATTCTGAGCTCTATGGCCACTGCACAAATCCCCGTATCTTTGGTCCACACCATCAAGGGCCTTTCACCTCTCTTCACGGTTCTAGCATACCGAATCCTGTTTCGCATTCGATATGCCCGGGCAACCTATTTATCGTTGATCCCTCTGACTCTGGGTGTGATGCTTGCATGCTCGACTGGAGTGTCTACAAATTTCTTCGGTATCTTCTGCGCATTCGGTGCAGCACTTGTGTTTGTCTCACAGAACATATTCTCGAAGAAGCTGTTCAACGAGGTAGACCGTGCAGAATCAGATCTGCAAAACCCCGGGCGGCGGAAGTTGGACAAACTCAACTTGCTTTGCTATTGCTCCGGGCTGGCCTTTTTCCTCACTCTGCCTATTTGGTTTGTCACCGAGGGTTACCCACTAGTATCTGATTTCATTCATGATGGTGTGATATCGCTATCGGGTAAGCAAGGCTCATTGGACCACGGTGCTCTTTCCATTGAGTTTGTGTTTAACGGAGTCTCACACTTTGCCCAAAACATCCTAGCCTTTGTGTTGCTGTCAATGGTTTCTCCTGTGTCCTATTCGGTTGCATCATTGGTCAAGCGTGTGTTTGTGATCGTGGTAGCGATTATATGGTTTGGGAGCTCGACCACCTCGATTCAAGCATTTGGCATTGGCCTCACTTTCGTTGGCCTCTACCTTTACGATCGCAATAGCCATGATGATGTAGCTGACCAAAGGGCAAACACGGACCATTTCCGTGCCGAACAGTCCATTCTTCCAATGAATGTACGGCACCCAAGCAAGCCATGGGATTCTAATGGCTATGCCTTCCCCGCGGGGAGGGCCTTTGAAGGTGCCCCCAACAACTCCCATGCTGCAGCAAACAACTCCAAGAAGGAAGACGATGGGCCTGGGCATTTTCGACCAAGAGGGGCCAGTGTGTCTCGTACTTGGTTACCAGGCACCAAACAAGAATCCACTTGGCAGGTTAGTGATTCTCAAGCTGCAGCCTAGCATTTGTATTTTATTAGTTTGGTGTATGATATCATGGTAGCGAGGTGTTGCTCGGAAGAGCTTTTACGTTACTATCCTTTCCCCTTGTTGTGTGCATCCAGCCTAGGACGCGCAGAGCATAAAGATGTACTTTGGCTGCGTATGGGATATACACCAGAGTCCAGATTGTCACCCGAAGTTAGAAAGATGTGATCTAGAAATATCATGGGAAAACCCAGAATGTATAGGATGAATAGAAGGGTTTATATTGAAAATGTACAAAAAAATTCTATATATCAGGAGAATGATGTAGCTACCGTTGGTAAGGAACAAAGTCATCATTAGGCGAACCCTTGACAGCTCCAGCTACGGTGCAATTCTGCTCTTGGGACATGCTGTAGAGGAAATAGGAACAGGGAAATTGCCTGCCTCCTACAATAAATGATGCCCTTTAACAATTTAATTGAAGAAAGGAAAAGGAGAAAATCGGGGGAGAAACGGTGGCTTTTAAGGAAACCCGGAGTGGAAGTTTATCCGCCTAACCGAGTCAATCGAGCCAATCCCCGTGAGCCCATTTGCCGTTTCCCTTAGTCAGCAAAGTGATGGTCAGCACTCCTATTATGTAACCTTAGAACCGCAGATTCCGATGCAAAGTGCTCTCTGAACTCCCAACCCGTCACCAGGATCTCACCCCCTCGCCCTCCTCCACCTTATCTCCCACCCTCACATCTCTGTTCTCCTTCCAATGATGCGGCCGCAGCTGTTTCGTGCGGCCGCCCGGTCCCTCCGGGTTCCTAAGGTCACTCCCCGGACCTTCGCGACGACAGCCCCTCGCGCGGCACAGGTGGAACTCACCATTGGTAAGTCCAATCTTGGGTTAGTTCATCTAAATTGATCAATAACTGATGGCTCGTTTGTCTAGATGGCAAAAAGGTGTCTGTGGAAGGTAAATACTCCCTTGAGATAACTCATTGAACCTTCACTCATATTCTCTCCCCAAAGCTGGCTCGGCTCTTATCCAGGCCTGTGAGCAGGCAGGCGCAACGGTTCCCAGGTATGACAAGACTCCACCAATCCAATTTGCTTGCAATACTAACATACACTAGATATTGTTACCACGAGTATGTGCCTTTGATCGAGTCACACATATTGTTTTTGCTAACACCAGTCCCTAAAGAAAACTTTTGGTTGCAGGAAACTGTACGTGAAACCATAATCCCTCGTTCTACGCCATTGAGGCATATGTACTTACCGAAACTATAGGTCGTATGTGCCTCGTCGAAGTCGAACGTGCCCCAAAGCCGGTGGCCTCCTGTGCTTGGCCGGTACAACCCGGTATGGTGGTGAAGACGAATTCACCATTGGTCCATAAGGCAAGAGAGGGTGTCATGGAGTTCCTTCTCGCCAACCATCCCCTCGATTGTCCTGTCTGCGACCAAGGAGGAGAGTGTGATCTCCAAGACCAGTCGATGCGTTACGGTGCCGATCGGGGTCGTTTCCATGAAACTGGTGGAAAGCGTGCCGTGGAGGATAAGAACATCGGCCCACTGGTCAAGACCTCAATGAATCGATGCATTCACTGCACTCGTTGTGTCCGATTCATGAATGACGTCGCCGGTGCCCCAGAATTAGGAACTGCTGGTCGTGGAAACGACATGCAGATTGGAACCTACCTCGAGCAGAACCTCAACTCAGAACTCTCAGGCAATGTCATTGACCTTTGCCCTGTCGGTGCACTAACTTCGAAGCCCTATGCTTTCCGCGCACGTCCATGGGAGCTCAAGCACACCGAATCGATCGATGTCCTTGACGCGCTTGGCTCTAACATCCGGATTGATAGCAGAGGCCTGGAAGTGATGCGGGTTGTCCCGCGATTGAATGACGATATTAACGAGGAATGGATCAACGACAAGTCGCGCTTCGCATGCGATGGGTTGAAGACCCAACGGCTCACAACGCCGCTCATTCGTCGGGAGGGCAAATTCGTTCCTGCCACTTGGGAACAGGCTCTAACGGAGATCTCATCGGCTCACGAGAAGCTGCAGCCACAGGCCAATGAGTTCAAGGCTGTTGCTGGGCACTTGGTTGATACCGAGTCGCTCGTTGCCATGAAGGACTTGGCAAACAAGCTTGGCTCTGACAACCTTGCCCTAGATCAACCTGGAGGTGGTGCCCCCATTGCTCATGGTATCGATGTCCGTTCCAATTACCTATTCAATTCCAAGATCTATGGAATCGAGGAGGCAGATGCAATCCTTTTGGTTGCAACAAACCCTCGTCACGAAGCCGCAGTTCTGAACGCCCGTATTCGCAAGCAGTATATTAGATCTGATCTTGAGGTTGGACTTGTCGGCGAGGAGTTTGAGAGCACATTTGACTTCAACCATTTGGGCACTGATGTCTCTTCCTTGAAATCCGCTTTGTCTGGAGAATTTGGCAAGAAGCTTGCCGGAGCCAAACGGCCAATGATCATTGTCGGTAGCGCTGCTGCAGAGCACCCTGACGCCAAGGCAATCTTCGAGGCTGTCGGTGGTTTCGTTGAGAAGAATGCAAGCAACTTCATTACCCCGGAGTGGCAGGGCTACAATGTCCTCCAGCGTGCGGCGTCTCGTGCTGGTGCCTATGAAGTTGGCTTCACTGCGCCATCTTCCCAGGTTGCTCAAACCACCCCCAAGATGATGTGGCTTTTGGGCGCAGATGAAATTGCCCAAAGCGAGATCCCGAAGGATGCGTTTGTCGTCTACCAGGGACACCACGGTGATCGCGGTGCTCAACTTGCCGATGTCGTTCTCCCCGGCGCTGCATACACCGAGAAGTCAGGTACATACATCAACACTGAAGGTCGTGTGCAAGTCACCCGTGCTGCTACTTCTCTCCCCGGTGCAGCTCGTGATGACTGGAAGATCATCCGTGCCACTAGCGAATTCCTCGGTGCTCCTCTTCCTTATGATGATATTGAGGCTCTTCGTGACCGCATGGAGGAGATCAGCCCTGTCATGCGTCGCTACGATGTTGTTGAGCCGACCTCGGTTGGCTCGTTGAGCAAGGTCCAACTTGTGGATCAGAACAAGGGATCTCAAGCTACTGGGGCTCCTTTCAAGAAGGTGATCGAAGACTTTTTCTTCACTGACGCTATCTCCAGAAGGTGAGTACCCTGTTCCGTCATTTATCATTAATTGATTTGCATTGCTAATTCTGCTTTAGTTCGCCCACCATGGCCCGCGCCTCCGCTGCCAAGGCCACTGGAAACCCTGAGACCAACTTCATGGCCGCAGGAGAAATGTCTCCTCAGGCTTTGTATGGTTAGATCGGGGTCTGTCTTGACCTCATTCTGTGTTTCTCTAATGGTTGCAGGCGTTTTTATTGTACCACATCTTAAATTTCCCTCTTGATGTACTGTTTCCTTTCCATCCTCTGTGTTTTTCCCTATCATCTTGAACACCCTTCCGGTTCCTGTTGACCTCTTCGCCATTCTCCGGTGTCGCCTGGGATTAATCGGTAGTGGTTGCCTTGTACATAAAAGACTGAACCCCCAAAATTTCGAGTCCATGGGCGTCGGGGATGATGAATCTATGCTACTTCCGTAAATTTTATGCGTAGTAGCTTTTAAATGGAAAAGTACAGTTAGGGCTTCCTACGGTGCAAACGAAGTGAAATTATCCCAGGAAAAATGACTTTTGGGAAAAAGAAGTATCCCAGCGAGAAGAACAGGGCAGGGAGAAAGAATGAAACACAAAACCAGAGAGATCCATCAATAGGTGTATTGCAAGATCAAGGAGTCAAGAGGAACTTTTAACTCATAGGTCGATTGGGTGCTATTCTGCACATAAGATGGAACTATATTTCGCTCTGTTGAACTACTTTATCTAACTTGTTCCAGTGGCCAGTTTAAAGCTCATCGTCGTCCGTCTCTCCCGCAGTTTCTTCGGCATCTTCACTGGGCTGGGTTGGAGCAGTCTTGATAGGTCCGCCGGTCCTTTTAGCAAATGGCAAATCTCTCTGAGGTGGCGCGGTGTCTCTCGCTGGGGAGACTCGCTTCAGCTGGGCAGATTCATCTTGAGACGAATCATCGTCCGTCGTGCTATTATTTTGTTCGTCGTCCAAAGGATGAGGGGTGGAATGCTCTTCGTCATCGGTGTCTTGATTACCAGAGGCATCTCGATCAGCCTTTATTGGATCAATATCCATTTGTTCGAACCCATCAGAGTCGTCTGTGTCGCTCATCTTGCGAGCACTTCTCTTCGCTGAATGATATTTCTCGGCGGTGCTATGTGACTCCTCTGGAATGCTAGCTTGTATCTCAGAGACTGTTGATATTTAGTCAGTCAAGATATCCAGGCTTGTCTGTTTGTGCCACCTACCTTTGGTGGCATCCACCGTAGCTGATGCCAGAAGACGTTGCTGGTTGCGGATTTTAAGCTTTTTCTCGTTCAAGACCTGTACGAAATTGGCGACCAGTCGATTCTCATGCTCGGTTTTCGCATGCATAAGCTCCTCAAGCTGTTCATTCAACCTCTGTATGGTGTCTTCGGCGAGGCGATAACGGCCAGTGAGGCTGGACACTTGTTGCTCTAGCATATTAGCTCTAGCCGCAGTGATTCCTGTCCATTCGAAAAGCTCGACGGCTTGTTCATCATCTTGCCTGAGGGTAAAAGCACCAAGGCGTTGCTATATTAGTGTTAGTAGTGATATATATACATCTAACCCGCCGGCGTGGAACACGAACCGTGATAGTCTGCACTCGCTTCCGTATAGTGATCACAATTTCCTTATTGTCTTCATCAGAACCCGATATGCTGGCCGAAGCTTCGAGACCAGTGGCCCAATCGGGCTCGTCAGGAGGAGCAGAACATTGTCCCAGAATGAGAGAGACCGTTTTAACCCATTCATCATTGGATCCTTGGTAATTCTTTGCTTGAAGGTCTTTCAAGCGTGTTTGTTTCACTGTGCGACATGAGCTCATGACTTCCAAACTTCATTCTGCGACGACTCACCCAAGCCAACGTAGGGCGATTCCCCCTCAGTAGCCGTCAGACTCAGATCAAGCGGCGCAGGGCCGGTACATGAGACATGGACGAGTACATAAGACCCAGTCTCGTCAGATCTGGGAAACCGCAAGATTCGAGGGTCTGTTGAAACAGGAGATGGCATATTTGGAATGAAGACTCAGGTGAGAAGGACGGGAGTGGAGAAAGTTATAGAGAGAGAAGAGAGTAGTAGTTATTGGGAAGTGAGAGATATTAAATTGCCTACATGTATATTTGGTAGGTAACCAAAGTCATCAAGGCAACAGAACTCGAGTGGATATAACATACAAGGAGGTACCGTCTTGACTGGAAGGTAGCAGATATCAGGTCTCCACATATTAGAATAACGAAATGTACTGGCTACATATGTACCCCATTAATAGGTCCAATTTTGATTACCACTGGCAATAGCTGTCACTAAATCTGTATGAATCTACAAGTATCTTGTAGATAATTGCTATAACTACATATGTACATTGCAGCTCGACATTCAATATGAGCCTGTAGTAGGTACCCTACAACTGAGGGGACATCAATGTTCGTTTAATTACATGTAATGACTGCGTATAATACACGTACTCCACACTTGGAAGTATGCAGTCTGCACTGAATATCCAGGTAAACCGATTACCTGGATACATTACCAGTACGGGGACCCGTCACGTTCTTCCTCTCCTCCACGAGGAATCTGAGATCCAGCCACAACCGACACACCTTTTTTCCCCTGTTACCTCTTCGTTCTCGCAATTAAGTTCCTTTGATTCCTTGAATTCCCCCGAATATCAGCGGTCAGAATCAAGTGTCTTGGGGTGTCCCCAATGCTTGAGTGTCCTTCTCTAGTGAATGTTTATGGATGAGGACCTAGCATTTATCAGGTCGCCTAGTGAACCCGCTTGGTCTTATTCGGCGAAATCGGCTCTAGAGCAAGGCCGGCCTTTATCGAGCTGATTCCTCCAACCACCCGCCTTGAGATATCCGAGCTCACTTGTCACGCTACGATCAACAGTGAAACCGCCGTGCCTCTCACTTGCTCCTATCTTTCGTCCCTACCAACCGACACGGAATGACGCTCATGTTCGCACCCCCTGAATCATCACCAGTGTCGCAAAGCACTGAGTCTGCCACCTAATCACAACCGCTTCCGGACGCCTGTAATCATCCCATGACCCCCGTGTTCTCTGTACGCCTTCAGCCAATTCGCTTCGCCGATCATGGAATCTTTACCAATCCACCTACGACCGGGTACCGACGAGTCGATTGAATGCTGGGACGATGACGACGACTTGCAGTTCAACGAGGATATTCACTTTCGCACCGCATCCAGCGCGGGGTCCGTAACAAACTCGTCATTTCGGCCCTCAGGGCACCGAGATTCTATCTCCTCTCGACGCTCTGCTCGCTCAGATATTGACTCCAATGCGGGCGACGAAGACTGGCAGGTACCGCTATATGACAACGATGAATTTGCAAAAGAAGATGCCATTGCTTCGGCCAAGACTGCGGGCATTCCCATTCCTCCAGATATCCCCAAGTCAGCTCTTATTGGAGGCACGATCAAGCGCTTGTCAACTCGAAAGACCAAAAAAACTTTTGTTGATGACTGGTCAGAAGACGTTGAGCTCCCGGGTCCTGAAACCCTGTTACAGCTCAAAACTCCTCGGGAAACCATGTTTCCTGACTCCCTTCGACATTTGAGCTCCGCTGCTACCAGTCCAGTGAAATCCACGGCCTCGCCATCTTGGGATGACGAATTCCCAACACATTTGCAATCTACCTTGGGACCATTTGACGCCTTCCATGACGACAACGATAGTCTGGAAACCCGAGATATCCCAACCCTCAAAGCCCCAACTCCTCGATCTCCAAAAGAATTGAGCATTCGCAATGTTGGCAGCGGCTTCAGTATTGAACAGGAAGCAGACGACGACTTCAACCAGGATTTTGAACTTCCTGCCAATCATCAGCCTCTTGAATTATCCCATCGAAAAGCGAATTTCTACGTTTCCAGTCCCACTTTGGAGGACTTTGATCTTGAGTGGTCTGAAGGAAGTATCGGTGTACGAGTTGGTGGTACCACAAGGGATGGTCGTTCAGTTCCCAGTTCCTCTATCTCTATCGCCAGCCCCAGCGTTTCAAGCTGTCTCACCGCGGAAAGTGAAGACGATGGCCTCGACGGTATCGTCATTCCCGAAGGCCCCCTTGATTTCAGTGCTTCTCTGCAGAAACGACAGACTGCCCAAGCTGAGAATGTTGAAGCGGAAGAGAGTCAGGTGGATCGTATTCCTTCTGACGCTGACGACTTCTTTTCTGGCATTGATATCGACAACGAGAAGGCTTTCTCCTTTGGAAAACCCGCTCTGAATCCCAACATAAAGTGCAAGACAGAACGGCCATCCAGCCCGACCCGTCGATCTGCAACAACACTCACCTTCACCAGTGCGACAGGATCTCCACGAACTCGCATCCCACGCTTGTCTGGCCATGATCGGACCCATTCAACCCACCTTGAAACTGTGTCAGAAAGTGGTGCGCCTCTTTCCAAATTTCGAACATCACAATCGCGTCTAGGGCATTCGTCTCACTCGTCAACTTCAAGTCTCCCGGCTCCTAGCGCCAATCCCACATCCCCGACTCCTGCACTCTCTGGTCGACGGCTTCTCGGGTCTCGCAATTCCCGGGACATTGCTCAGGCCGGCGAGGGCAACCCTTCAGTTAGGCGTTTGAAGACCAAGCGATCCCTGCCATCGATTCGTGGCTTAAGCTCGACCGCTTCAATGACCGCTTCCCAGCGACCACCGGTGGATCGTCCAGTCCGCCTTCCCTCTGCCAGACCTAAAACACCGGTGGATCTCCCCGCAACTGATGCGAGGTCGCTGGGTCGCAGGCCACAGGTGCCATTTATGCCGGCTGGCGTGTCGGAATCCCAATCACACCATGCTAGTGTCAAAGGGTATCGCTCGTCACGTCGCACAAATTCGGGTAGCTCTGGTGGGCTTCTTAGTCCGCAGGGCACAGTCTCTCGACTCTCCCGACCAACTCGCAATGAGCCGTTCCGTGCTGGGTTTGGCGACACAAGCGCGGACTCTCTCGGTTCCTCTACAAAACGTACAATCACACGACCCACTAAAAGACGCAATTTCGGGGATGGAACAGAGTTGGAATCGTTTGATGACCTATCTACATCGGTCTTCGCAGAGAGCAAGTTCGTCAAAACCCCCACCGGTCGAGGTGCTCCAAGGTCGGTCCGCGCCAGACTCAGCCAGAGCCGGATTGATCCCCCACATGATGAATCACCTACTCAATCTTTAACGTCCCCATCAACTTCCAAATTGCGCAGTCCGACACCTAGGTTTGCGCGAGATACCAATGCATCTAGAAATGCAAGGGAACAACGCATTGCATCCATGGCTATTAACTCGAAAGGCCGTGAACCGAATCCTCTTTCGGCGTTCAACTCCAACTGGAAGTCCCAACCTATCTCAAGGATTCCTCCGGCCTCTACAACGATCAGAAGCCGGAAAGGTAAACCGAATGCCAAATCAACGTCCAAGCCACACTTGATCAAACCCATGGGATCTGGGGTGCAGGATGCCAAATGTAAGCAAGACCTCCAATCTCTATTTACATGATTTGCCCAATCTTATTAACCGTTTTTCAGCCGTGAGGGGTATGCGTTACAATCCTACCATTTTCCGGTGGGAAGGAAACGAAAATCTGGTTCAGGAATTTGATGCCACTGCTCCCAAATCACCCAAACCTGCCCCGGCTCTCATCACCAACGTTGGGGCGATGCAGAATGTCCAGACCGTTGGTGGAATGGTGTTCGATCCACATCGTATGTGTTGGCTCAGGGCGTCTGTTGGAGCCGACGAAGACGACGTGTTTGCCGGCCTGGACGACTTGGATGACAAAATCACCAGCACCGTTGGACGAAATTCTGGAGCGATTGAGGATCAATTCCCAGCAGTTGGGGACGATGCAAGTGCTGATGAATCCTCAGATGAAGGACCTATGACAGAGGAATTTGATGTCGGCCCAGAATTCATCCGACGACAGCGGGCTGAGGAAGACAAGTGGAGACGCAAGGTTGACAAATGGGTATTTGATCGAGGCGACCACGAAAATCATTGGAAATGGATCATCCGCGATTTAGTGGCCTTTGACCGGGGATCGGCATAGAAGCAAGATTTGACGTCTGCATATCCAACTTTCCCGGACAGGGGTCGCCTTCTTTTACCCGCATGTGTACATTGTACTAATCCAACATCCCCACGAACTTACGACGTGAAGACCCATTGGCCGTGATGATTCGGCTATCATGAATTTATGGTCTCCTTTTTTTTGTTTTGTTTTCCTAAGCATATCTGACCAAGGGGGGCAGAATGCTATGTAACTATATCTTTTGTTTGAGTACACAGTGTTTAATATGTTTTTTGGGCCATTGTCCTTCTGAACTGTCTATACTATTAGAGAATATCGGACTCGGGGATGAAAGAAAGTAAAAAAGCCAAAGAAAAACAAAAAAACAAAGAAATCGGGAAGCAGCAGAATAGAATATGTAACACCAGATATGTTTTTGGACTGCAAGTGTAAATCTGCGAGGGTCCGAACCTTGAAGTCCGAGGTGTCTCACCTTTCAGCCAAACGTATGTCATCCTGTCGTCCCGGGTACTTCCCCTGTACTTCATCCTTTCTTTTTTTCCTTCTGACAACCTTGACACCCTTGACACCCTGCAAAAGTCCCAGTCTTGGCATATGTAAATGCCACGTCAAATCGAAACATCTTCTCGGATGCTCACTTGCATTTCTGCCCATCTGGGAAATAAATAAAAATATATTATATGTGGGACAGCATGGCCCAGACACAGTACAATATTGACAAGGATGGCCAGACTTCAAATCTCGAGGGATTCATCTCAATTGCTCCAGAGCAGTTCATACATCGACACTCTATTGACGACCCCCCGTTCTCTCTATCTTTTCTTCCCCCTCTTACCGGATGAGCCCAACGGGGAGGAGCTTGAGGATGCAGAACTCCCCAGAGGAGTGGGGATTCCCAAATCCATGTTCCTTACCAATTTGCACGGCTACTTGCATGGACAACTCCCTTTTTGCCCGGGGAATCTCCTGCCGACTTTGTTTGACCGTGAAGCAAACGTACAGAGACAAAGAGAGAGTTTCCCCCCTTTCCTGATTCGAGTCGGGATCCCATACGGGAGTAGAGTTGTTCCGCAGGTCTAAGTATAGGAAAAAAATTCGGGGAGATGATGATTTCGCCCCCCGCTGTACTTCGGTCAAATCAGGAGAGCCGAATGGGTTTCCCCCCAAAAGTCATTACTCTCTCCGATAGGGTGCCTCGAATAGCCCTGTCCACTCCCATATCTCCCATGTCCTCAACGTGGCTTCTTGAGGCAAATGGTGGCGCTGATTGACCTTAGGGCATCGAAAGGCAAAGGAAAAAGGCAGGAAAGGCAGGAAAGGCAGGAATCCGTATCACCATTGCTTCTGTGCGCTGTCGTATCAGCCTGCTTCCACTTTTTTTTACCTCTTCGGCGGGTCGGAAAGAATTGACCACGAACCCCAGTCCTTTCTCGCTGCTTTTCTTTTCTTTTTTTACGTTAGACCCATGCCGCTATCTTCCCTGCAAGCTTTGGTAATACCTATGCTTCCGTACCTTACAGAGCTCTGTTCGACTCGCCTGGCTCCATCATTTCTTTTTCTCTGTGGAATATTTGCTGTTCGTCTTCCAGGGATGCCCTCTGTTGTCTCTGCTCTGTCGCAACATGGTCTCGTGCACTTCATCTTGGGCATCAGCCATGTCAGTCCTGCACTGTTTGTCCATCTGGGGTCTTTTTAATAGAATTGCTACCCCGTTTCCAGATGGGCTTTCTGTGAATTATTCCTTCTCTCTTTCTATATCCCACTCACTGTGATCTTCTAGACACAGTTCAATTCTTTTGTGATACTTGTGGTGTACCTGGGTACTGTGGCAATTCTTCACTATATGCAAACAAGTTAGCCCAGTCGTCGTTTCATTATTATCATTACCTTCCTCGGAGACTCGCTGTATACTTGCCCTTTTTTTTTTTTTTTTTCTATACATCTTTTTTTTCCCCTCTCTTCTTCTTCTTCTCTCTGTTTGAAACAGATCGACGTGAGCTGAACAATAATCAAGTGACATTCCAACTCAGATATCAATTATGAGCAGCTTTGCAAGGCGCAACGAAGGGAATGATGCGTATCTCATGAATCACCAAATGGCAGTGCCTGGCTCGTACGGTCAGGCAGAGAGTCATGACTTCAAGCAAGAAGGCCATGACTTCAACACACATGGATCTGGAGCATATCATTTCCCTCAGCATTCCTTCAACCCATACGGGTCTCAGTTTGGGCAGCCCTATGGCCCACAGTCGAGTCTGTCTCCAGGGTTGCAGCATTTGCAATATACCTCGGAACATTCGGTTCCATCGATGACCACCCCAGATGACCCCAGACTACACCATCCGCCGCAGTTCATGTCCCAATCACGCTACCTTCAAGGGCCAAGGTATCTGTCCCGCGATCCGCTGGGTGAAACAGAGATTGAAAGCCAGGAGTCTCACAACGAGGCTACATTGCTGTCAGAGGCTGTAGTGCCCGCACTTAGCGGCTTCCCTGATGTAAAGGAGTTTGATCAACTGATGCAGAAGTGAGTAATCCGTGATGAACCAGATAGACCTAAGGCTAATATCTCATCATTTAGCTACGTTGAGGACCTGTCCATCAAGAAGCAAGATAAAGCGTTGATCTATGCCAAAAGAGCGGGTAACATTAGAACTGTGTTAATTGACCCTAAAGACACGGCGGTGGAGTCGGCTCAGTTTCGGTATGGGATCTCTTTGATTCAATCAATTGCCTGCCTTGCTAAACAAATCAGGTTTTGGGTCAAAAAGATGTTCAAGCTCCAAGCTGTGGGATCGGATGTAAGCCTGGCTTGTCCCAACGGATATGATTTAATCAATGCTGATAGGGTGATTTGTTACGATATAAAGCATAGGAAGATGATCTGTCACGAGGGAAAGCCGGTTGCAATTCGGGAAAAATTGTTCAAAATTCTCACCAAGGCCCACCAGCAATGCCAGCATGGTGGCCGAGATAAGACATCTGCTCAGGTCCGGCGGATCTATTCATGGTGGGCAAATCCGAGTCATATTTATATACGTATATGGCATGTTTAATATATAGCCACTAACCGTCTCATTAGGGTTCCCAAGGAACTAATCTCCCGGTTCGTTAAGATCTGTCCGACCTGTCAGGTGCGCCGTGGGGGATCACGCTTGACGCCGCCTAATTCGCGAAGAAGCTCCCCCAGACTGGAAATGGTCTCTCGATCCCCCAAACTCCCATCGCCGCCAATTTCGCGACGAGAATCGACGTTTGGTGGTCAAATCCCCCTTGACAGGACGCAAGCAGACTACTTTGGTCATTTACACGGTCACGGTGGCTGGCTGGATAGTCATCAAAATGTGCAAAGCCGCTCAAATCTAGGCAACGGAGTTCGGTCGTTCCAGGGTCCCATGGGCAATCTTTCACACTCAATTGCTGGCACCTTGGACCCCTTCTCGACCGATTTATCCATCCCTCCGTCCCAATTGAGCTATACAACGGGATATGTCCCGACACATGGGGCTGCGCCTCAGCGAGAGTTTTGATTGTCTTTTCTGGTCGACTTGTGTGGATGTTGCTTTTTGATATTACCGGAGTACACTGTGTGCTCTCCAAAAGTATACCTTGCCAGGAGCCTCTAGATCATTTTATGCTTCCTTGTCAACCCCAAGCCTGATGGGTAACATACACGAACAGGGAACAGGGCGAGAAGCTGATTTCCCATCCGTTATGGGGTTTTGGGTGTACTAAGAGAAGGGAGGAATTTGAATAAAAACGGAAAGAACATGAAAAAAAAACCCCCGAAAAATACTCTGAATAATTCAATAATTGAATCTTGAATCTTGCATTATACAACATAGGCTACGTTTGAATGGTAGACCAATGAACCCAAAAGTACAAAAATTTCGACAAAAATCAAGGATTTCCCTTTTCTGATCGGCACTATAGAATACAACAATCAGATATGCACATAGTCCGTAATCGTATTCGATATTCGGTGTTGGGTCAATTGCGGGTTTATTTGAGCCTCATGTGACCATTCCTAAATGCATACAGATTGGCGACATGGAAACATTAATTCATAGCAACTCCCGGCGTCGGGGCTTGAGGGGGTGATGCATGGGTTCAAGGCACCTGGTACTTGTGAGATAGGCGATCACGGTGTTCCAAGGCAAATATAAAAGGAACGAATGCATCAGATTCAAAATTCCATCTCGGAAGCTTTAAAAGATCCAGGATATCATCAATTCCTGAACTCATTCAAAAAGTGGAAAGGATTCTAAACAGGAAGCGAGAACTTCTTGCCCTTCAAAACCCTGGGAGAAAAAAGCGCGAAAGTCAGTGTCCACACCATACATCTGCCTTTTTTTTTGGAGCCGATTGGGCTTACTTATTGTAGTAAATGTAAAAGAAATCGGAGTAAAGTAACGTTTGGATGATTCCAGCGATAATGGTCACAGGCTGGAAGGAACGTTGGAAGGAGGCTTCGGTGAAATAACGGAAGACCCAGTTCGGGATGTAGAGTGCCCTATAGAGTCCCAGAGCAAACAGATAGTGGGTGGTGATTGTGTCTGCCTCCCCGGTTCGTTGCAGCATGAATAGTTGTGGCAATATGGCAACCGACTCCAACCAGATGGAAAAAGTCCAGAGTATCTACATGACGTTAGTCCCGATCTTTCCACACCATAGACGGGGTGAAGCCAACCTCGGAGATGCGATAATCGCGTGGAAAGAGAATCGCAAGCACCGCGCTAATTCCGAGGAGGTATTGAACCTTGAAAGTATCGATGTTGGGGTCATGTGTGGGTTTGTAGTCGTTGAGCATGAGGTAGATGACGTAGGCCGAGGAACCGATAAACAGTAGCTTGAACGTGGTGAGGTACAGGGAGTCGGTGAACGTCCAGAAAAGATCTAGAAGGCGCATGAGCGATTGTGATGAACACAAAGCCGACGCTGACGTCGAAACCTACCGAGATAGCGAGTGACAAAAACCAGAAGGTATAGCACCTGCGATTTGAACGACAACCCGGAACAACTCTGCGATCTGCCATCAGTTGCAAGTCATATGTGGCTGTATGGACAGGAGAACATACACTTGACGTCTTCATCTTCTGTAGAAGCATGAAGATCGACGCCAGATGGGAGAAGTCGGCTGCGATTGAGCGTTAGTATATCGCGTTGGTTTCCATTGGTTTTATGTACCTAATAACCTGAAGATATTCATTATGCCGGAGACGGATTTCAGTGTGAATAGTGACCTAAGCCAGGAGAGAGAGAAAAGGAGGATAGGAGAGGGAAGGGACAAGTTTCAAATGTTGAGAATTGGTAGGAGTTTAGACCAAAACAGCTGAGTTGTTGACACGAAGGCAAAAAAAAAGGAAGGGGACCTTAAATTACTTGCAGATCAGGTACACTGAGTACTTGTACCGTACACAATATGTACCGTACACGTACATACACCCATACATCCATACATACTACTAGTAGTGCATATGTACATACCTTAAATTGTGCTAGTAAGAGTACTATAGTTATGGAATGGCCTATGAACGTATATGGTATGTACCTAGAACTACCTTTTTGCAAAGTATTGAATATGCGTATTATACAAACCGAAAATACGTAGTACTTTTCCGAGAAGTAAATTATCTGTATAACAACTTTGAATCATCTACAAGATCCCCTACTAGTAGGCACCTTGCATTAAATCTCAGGCATGTGACTTCTATACATGTGTACATTGAATCATAAAGATTGCATCTATTCTAGAGATAATCTACTTTGTATGTACTCAATACAACTAAAAGCACAACATTGAATATTTCCCTACGTATTTATACGTCCCCGGAATGCATAATGTCGTCAAATCATCATATTGATACAACCTTGGAAGAAAACAATCATAATCGCTACCTAGACCTGCCCAATACCTTGACATAACCAGACACATGACCAGATATAACGCCGAGATCAATTGCCATTGTAGGACAAACATGTACATTTGCCTCACTAGAACAAGTTTCCGCCCCCAATGCTCTCATCGGCCATTCGCTGGAGATGGCCTTCAGCTAGCTCGCTCTTAAGAGCGCATATTGAGCTTTCGCGATCGAGTCGATTCCAGTCTCGAAGTTCTGCTCGCTTAGACCTCTGTGTCTCCGCGATCTGCTCGAGGAGTTTTTCTTTGTCGACATCAAGCTGAGCCAATCGCTTCTCCACGGCAGGATCTAGAAGCGACGGAAGACTCCGACCTTCCGGTATGATAGTACATAGCCCCGCAAGATGGTTGATCCCCCTCTGAGCTAATGGTTGAGTTACAGATGGAGTGCTGGGTTGCCGGGAAGTCGGATGTCGGTAACTGCCACCTGGTACGGGAGATGAAAAAGAAGCGCGAGGACCTGCTGGTGGGGTTTGCGAAGGTGCAACAGGCCCGCGGCGTACCGTCGGAGACCCCGTCCAAGCCTCACGTGGGCCAGGTCCGCGGCGAGGACGAGTCGGCGCTGATAGTAAAGAGACATGCGGAGGACCGCGATGCTGATTAGATGGCGGCCTCGGTCCCTGATAAGGTCCTGATGGCGGCAGCGGAAGTGGGCTTGCACTGTGGTTTTTCGGTTGAGTTGGGATGTTGCCACCAACCCTGCTCCCGCTTGTCTGCGGTTCCAAATGTGCTCTCTCTGGAATCGAAAAAGGCGAATGATTGCCAACCGATATTCGGTCCTCATGATCTGGCCGCTGTTGCTCCGTATCGTAGATCTGATCCCGGTAAGGAGATCGACCTGGGGGTTTGGACGAACTTTGGAAGAGTACCGGAGAGCGAATCGGCGACCGACTACGAGCTCTGTGGGAAACCACAACGGGCTTTTCTACAACTGGCGATGAACGTCGAGATATCAGGGTGGGTTGTGAGGCCAAGGCTTGTGTAGGTGAAACATGTCTTGATGGCGACAAAGTCCGATCTCGTTTCGCCGCATCACGAGGATGGCCTCGATGTGAGGCATGAATTGGACTCTGTGGCAACGCCACTTCTGGCTGTATTCTCGGCGAGGAAGCTCTGGGGGGTTTGTCAATATTCAAGACAGCAGGGCCATCTCGTCTCGCGGGTCGGAAGGCTTGGCTGCTGGGAGTTGTATCGCGTATTCGTCTTGGGCTGTTGCGAGCACGGGATGCGTTGCGTGATCTGCCATCACTGTAGGGCGATTTCGAGCGCCATTTTTGGGGCGGTGATCTGACCCTTTCATCTCTTCTGGGCGAGAATCTTCTTGGTGGGGATCGTCGTCTTTCATAGGGAGGTGGACCAAAGTTTCTCCCCGGAGGAGTACGTGAACGGCGCCGGTATGGTGGTGGTGACCGACTTCGTAGGCGCCCATACCCTCTATTTGATGACGGTACCCACGTGTCGGCTCGTGGTCGAGGAGGGCTTCGGGTTCGTGGTGGCGAACGACGGTGACGAATTTCATACCCCCGAGAAGGGGAACGACCGTTTCTCTCGGCTGGACGATAACTTTCTCCGCCTCTTCGTTCATCAAATCTAGGGAAATATTTAGAAACTTTCTTCCTTTCAAATATTTCGATGCGCCTACAAACCTTCTGCGATCCCAGTCCATTACGGCACAGAGAATATGGATATGAGAGGAGATGGGGTGAAGTACAAAGTACTCTTGGGTAGAAATAGAAGGCAGAGCACAGGAACACACAGCTACCCAGTGCTACTTCTCCGTCTCCTAGGGAGAGAGGGTGAAAGTAGATCAAAGTGCAAGGAATTGAAGGGTCGAAACGCGGTAGATGAGAGTAGTGAGCTAAACCCTTTTAGGAATACATTCCCGTGACTGTAGGCCGCGATATACAAAGTACATATGTACCCGGTCCTTGCCAAGTAACCCTACCCCCTTCGGGTGTTGGGTTACCACACCGTAATGTAAACTCTTGCTCAATGTAAATTTTACACCACCCACCATTTTTACTACCATTTTACATCCTACCAACATGCCGGAAAAAAACCCAGATTTGGAGAATACCCTTGCAAACGCTCTCTCTGCATGGCATGCTCGAAAAAAACCAAAAATAGCCCCATTGGCGCGAGAATTCGGCGTTCCTTACAATCTGTTGTATAACCGGGTTCACGGTCGGGGATCTCGTTCGACGCGCCGTCCTACCAATTCGACATTAAATCCGGATCAAGAGCAAGCCCTAATTAGCTGGATCACTATATTAGATGATGCTTGCTCTCCACCAACTGCTAGAATGGTAGAAGGGTGCGCTAATTCAATGATTCAACGCGCCAATGCGGAAGAAAACACGTCGCGTCCGCCGGTTGATAAAAACTGGGTATACCGGTTTTTAAAACGTATCCCACCTACCTATAACCTTCAGTTTATAAAACAAAAACCAAAGGAAAAGAAGAGAATGGAGGCTGAAAATATTGGCTATCTTACTACTTAGTACCAGCGCTTAAGCCAGTATATCGAAAGCAACAAATTAAGCCAGCGGGATATCTACAACTTCGACGAAACTGGCTTCCAAATTGGCTAAGGAAAGCCTTAAAAAGTCGTTTCAAAAAGCCAGACTCTATTTTCACTAAATGGAGGTATTGCTAAGGGTATTACCGGCATTGAATATATTGCTGCCGATGGCTGGAAGATGGCACCTTAGTTCCTAGTTAGGGGTAAATTCCATATAGAGAATTGGTATAAAGATACCAACCTTCCGGAGGATTATACCCTAGTAACTACACCATATAGGTATACTATAGATCAAACTGTAGTTCAATAGCTTCGCGCTTTTTATCTAGCAACTAAGGATCGTACTACTCGGGGTAGTAAACGCCTTTTATTAATAGATAACCATGGATCCCACCGTACTCTAGAATTCATCAATTTTATAGCGGAGAATAGCATTATCCCCTATTGCTTTATACCCTATACGACGTATATCTGCTAGCCGCTAGATAGCAAGCCTTTTCTTGCTTTAAAGCATTGCTACCAGTCTAATAATAACGCTATTATTCAATGGGGTGGATCGGTGGACCGAAAAGCGGATTTTTTTCGAGAAATTATATCTATTCGTAATGCTCTCACCACCCGAGTAATTAAGTCGGGATTTGCTAATTGTGGCATTTCCCCATTTAACTATGAAAAGGTGCTTAATCCGCTTGAAAAAGTTATAGATTACGGGGATGATCTAGTTGTCTTTAGTGAAGACGACGGATCAGAGGTTGATTTTCCTAGCTCTATTACCAATTCACCACCCCGTGGAATCTCTCGTACAAACGAGAGTACGCGTAAATTGGAGGCAGATATCGAATTGCTAGATAGCGAGCTTTATGCATCTATTCAGCACCGAGCAAAGCTACTATGCCGGAGTGCGCGAATTTCAGCGGAGCTAGCTACGTAGCTTGCTAAGGACAATACCACCCTGTTACGCCATAAAGTCCACCGAGATGCCCGTATTACCAAGCGCCAGATCAACCTAGGGGGCCCCCTTACTACTGGTGATGCCAATCGAATTATCCGGGCGCGAGAATCGAAAGAGTAGGTGCAAGAAGAGAGGCGGTTGAAAAAGCGGATTTCGAAGCCATTAACTACGGAGGATACACCAACCCCAGCACCCCGTTTTATTCCATGGATTCCACCAATGGATGATATATCTACTATTTGAGTATTTGCTAGGATTTTTTTAGATTTTTATAGGCGTTGTACGTTGAGAAAAATGCAAAAATATTTCATGCGTTCTTTAAAATTTACATTGAGCAAGAGTTTACATTACGGTGTGGTAACCCAACACCCGAAGGGGGTAGGGTTACTTGGCAAGGACCGGGTATAGTACTGTGCGGCAAGACAAGATCCAATATATGCTGATTTGGAAGATTTATACGGACAAATCTACGGAGTACATCCCTTGAAGTTTCATGGATTATTCAATAAACTTGATTCTTCAAACATAACCATACATTACAGCCCAGAGAGTTTTCTTGCAACCTATGAGTGTACATCAAAGCAGCCAAACTCCAATGCTCATCATGAAAGAAGCACGCACGGGAAACCCAGAAAATAGAAAATAGAAAAATACATTGAGCATCTTTAATGCTTCCCTCGTCTCTCCTCTTCCTTTCGGAATCTTTTGCGGTGCTCCTGTGCAATCATGTCACTCAAGTCCTCCTGGAACCCCCAGTTCGGTGGATTCTGCTGCTGCCTCTGTGACTCGTACATGCTCTGGAGGTTCTCTTTGCTGAGACCATCGCCGGATTGAATTGCATCCAGGTTAACAGACACTTCAACATCCCCCGGCTTCTTGCGTTTCCGGCTTTGGTCATCTGCACCAAGAACAGGAGGCTTGCCTGTTGATCCGCTGAGATCGTAGGCCCTATCACCCCCGAAAAAGCCTTCCACGTTCGTTTGCCTCTCAGGAATGACTTGATGAGCACTCCGAGGGTGAATGGATTCCTCTGTGTCAGTACCACGATGGTGTTTGCGCACATCAAACTCCCCAGAAACATTCTCAGCGCCAACAAATTCAGATGGTACTGCTGAATCTATTCCACTTGGGGTTTCCATATCACTGGGCGAATGAGCACCTGCACCCACGCCATCTTCGTCGCTTTCTTCTTCCTGTTCATCATCTTCCTCCTCAGCCTCACTCTCCTCTTCTGACTCTTCTGATTCATGCAATTCTCCCCAAAGATCCTTTTCAATCGGCTCTCCTTGTTGGGCATGTTGTTGGGGTTGTAAAACGCCGAAGATATCGCCTCCGAATAATGGGCGGTTGTGTTCATCGACAGGTGGCTTTCCATACCCTCCAGGATGGTAGCCCCACGACGCGCCGGGCGGAGGCGGCGCATTGAGGCCGGGCACTTTCAAAGCAGGGTAGGAAGACGGGGGACCATATCGCTGCTGGTTGACGAGCCACGGGGGAGGGGCTCCTGGGGCCATACCAAGAGCATCTCTTAACTCATCGCTCAGTTCGCCAGGTCGGAGGTGTTTAAGATTGGTCTCGTATTCTTTGCCCTCATAGTAGATCTCGCCGTAGCGAGTCAGCTCTGGCTTGGTTTGGAAACGGAAAAATGCCTCGTAAAGCTTCTGGTAATCAATGTCCAACTTGCCCATCTTTGGCTGCACTCTTTCCCGTTGCTTCTGTTTCAAACTTGACTGTTCCTGCTTCTCTAAAGCGGCGTCGCGCATTTCAGATATTCCCGTCTCCTGTATAAATTTTGGGAGAGCAAATGGCGCCTTCTCCACTCCCCGTTTGGATGAGAGATACTCTCGTTTGAGCGACCAGTGAGAGGGGACCGGGACCACATTGCGATGAGCTTTAATGTGAACGAGGAGTCGAGGATCAGGGGCGGATGTATCTGTCCATTCAACGATTTCAGGCTTTCGTACCATTGCTTTGAGTTCAGCAACGGATAGCTTGTTCATTTCTTTCCGCTTCTTTTTTGAAATCTTGGGCTCGCTCTCTTGCTCTTCGTCGGGTATTTCATCACCATCGTCAAAGAAAACCTCGGGTTTATCAGTCTCCTTCGTCAATGAATTTTCGGTCACTGTCTCGTCAAATTTTCCAGCGACATCTTTGTACATTTCCCATAGCGGATCGGTTGGCTCGGGAAGCAGATCGGTGTTGGTATCAGCCGGTGCATCCTGAGCAGTAGCCACTGGCGGAGGTGACAGTTCCCGTGATATGGTATTGTCAGTGGAAAAGCTCGTAGTCTTTGTATCAGTGTCAGCTTTAAATAGGCAGGCTGAGAAACTTTGGAGAATATATCTGCCTTACCTCGGCTTTCTGGGCCTTTTTCTTGGCTCTTCTGAGCTGGTTCTTGCTCAATTTCATGGTCGCTGGAAGGTTTGGCAGCTGGTCAACGAACGCGGTGCTAGGTGGAGAATATTGCAGAAATGGAAAGAGATAGGGCACTGGCAGCTTGGTTCAGGTGCGTGCAATGATAGATTCAGGTAGCAAAGGACAATGGAGTCAAAGGACAATGGAGTGGGCGGACATGGTTAAAACCCGAATATGGATATCAAATGTCATCACGTGCGTCCACCTACAATGCCTTCACCGCCTGTATTTTGCCACACCTAGTTACATGATATGTAGTTAGATGCGAGCAACCTCGAGGGTTTGGAAGCGAACCTTGGAAGGTTTTGTCATTTGTCATGCAATGATCTACCTGATGTACGTTGTTATATACGTATTTTGTCTAACTTATTTGTGTAGAATTTTCAGTATTGCTCCAATGAACTACTGGCATGAGAGCCAAAAAAAAAGGAAAAGAGAAAGAAAAATGTATTATTGTACAAAATGTGAGACAAAACAAGCTGTGTCGGATGGTGAGACTATCAGCGAAGATAACAAATGAAATCCCAAGGCAATTTGCACCTGAAGCAAAAAATCTAAACAACTTTGCGAAGCTGTATTTCACTAGCCCAGCCAGATCTTGAGATAATCCGGATATAGAAAATGTGCCGGTGTGGATGTGAGTGGTGCAATGTTGAGCTTAGCAAAGCCTGTAAGGTTAGGCAGACAGTCTATTTCT